TATATCTGGTGCTAATATTTTTAACATAACATCAAATGTCAAAATATAACTATATAATTCTTTATTTATTTTTACCTAACTATTAGAAAATCTTTTGAATAGAATTATGTTTGGGCCAGTTGATGCAGGCATTAATTTATCAAACACTTTACTTATAATTATCTCATGTATGTGGTGCCTACAAGCAAAACTCAATAGTTTTTTATCAAGTTGTTTTTCGATTAAAGTACATGCACCGTGAAGTATACCAATGTTAGGAACTGTAGTATCAAAACACATCATAGTTATGCGTTCAATCAAGTTCCGATCAATTATTATTTTAATAACAGCATTCGCTTGAGATTGGCCAGTAGAATTCAATAATTTTGGCACTCCGAGAAGCAGGGCCGGATTTGACGGAGGGTTTTAAGGGCACTTGCCCCGGGCAACAGATGTTTGGGGACATCCGGATACGGAATACTATAAAAAAAAATTTTTTAATTTTTTAACCCTCGGCTTATGAAAAAATCAACTTTAAAAAATAAATATTGTTTTGTATTTATATAGTTTGGGGTGCAAAATTGATACCGACATACGTCACATGATAACAGAACGACATTAGGGCATACAGCAAACACAATATAATACTTTAGTATATTGGTACAAACGTTCGAGTGATTATGTCATTTTTTATTAAACAGCGTGGTGGTAGTACCCGTGTTTGATAAGACGTGACTTTGATTTCTACGAATCTCGATACCATATTATAATAGCGATTAGTGCAGGCTAGAGATGGGAATTATGGTTCACCTAAGTGATCCGATTCATTCGAATCAGGTCAACTAGAAGATCCGGTTTAAAGACCCGTTCGCGATTTAAAAGATATTTTGAGTCAATGGAACATTCAGTATAGTTTTGATTCTTTTGCGGTTCTCGATTCGCGAATCGCATGTATGATTCGCGATTCGGATTAGGGATGTGTCGTATAAACAAATGACATATGAATATGTTATCATGTTATCATTGATATTTGGTAAGCGATCAAATCGGTACAGTGTGATTTATACGGGAAAAAATTAGTTTTTGGGGGATCTGGATCACTACGGTTCGGCGATCTGAATCATTTCGTTCACTATTTTGACCCGTTCAATTCGATCCGTTCGTTCGCGAACGACACATCTCTAGTGCAGGCCGTCCGTCGTTGTGTTATTTTGTTTTCACGTATCTTGGTTATCCTTTTTATTATAAACAAACTTGAAATAAACACGTTTTAGGTAGATAGTTATAAAGTGCAAGTTTGGAAATTTTAAAACTTTTTTCCTTAACTACTTCGATAATGAGTATTTTTTTATTTTACTGTTAAGGGCCTCAAAAAAAAAATTTGCCCCGGGCATCCAAAAGTCTAAATCCGGCCCTGCCGAGAAGTTTAGTATTACCTTCACCAGAAACGAATACCGCTAAACGCTCAACGAAAAATTTTTTTGTTTTCTGACAGCAACATTTTTCAGTCTCAGTTGATCATTAAAGAAGTATCTGGTTGAAAAGATTTTACTATTTCATCAGCAATAATTTTCCTATTGGAAATACTAGCTCTCCGGATTGAATCTTTACTTGTAAAAAAAAATTATTAATATTTTTATCAGTAGAAGTTAAATCAGCCGCCAAAATAAACGTTGCATTACGGTTAGAAACGTTTGTTCTATTTAATGTTGACTTCATTTGTGTTGTCAAAATATTACTACGCATTTTACTTATAGTTGGTCGATCGAGACGACATTCAAAATCTGAACAACTAGTATCTTGTAAACTATCGTCAGCGCTATAAAGACTATAATTTTTTTCGTGTTCTCAGTTCAAGTTCTTAAAAATCATTATCTTTCATATCTCTAATCGAACGGATAGTTCTAATGGGAATTTTGTTTAATTTTGAAGTTGAAATACTAGAAACTGGTTTAGAAATAAATAATTAACAGTCATTGTTTAAATAATTGGCCTATAAAGAATTAGCGATTGAAATATTAAAAACGGTATCTAATGACTCCATAAATGTAACTTTTCTATTTTGAACAGAAGTATTTATTTTTATATATTTTTTTAACCTTATCCACTGCGTATAGACAAGTATTATTTGTGAAACGATTTTACATTTAAGTCTTATTGGGTATTAGTTTTTGACCACAGCTGTATTAATTACTCAGAACACAGATTACCACTAAAAGATATTGGGTTTTTGGCCACACTTTGAAAATATAAGAAATGAACTAGAACAACTTTTGATGGAACCTGTTGACTAATGTTTTTTTTTTCGCATAATCATAAGGCGATGCGTTTTAGTCTTTGAGTTTTCCAGTATACACTAAAATTAAATTGAACATAATTTTTACTATAAATTCATGTAATAATTGCCGTCAAATGTAATTCAATATATTGACTAAAAATTAAATTAAAATGGCATTTTACATAAAAAAAATAAAATGTTATCGCTTAAATTACAATTTATATTAAAACTGTATCAGTTTTAAATAGTTATATTATTTTAATAATTATATTTTTATAAGCAATAATTATATTAAAAATTATTTTTATTACAACTATATATGAGCTAATTTTCTTTACCTAATATTATAATGACCACTGGAAATAAAATTATGATTAAAAATTATTTAAATAAAACGTCCAATAGAGTACTAAGGTTACTAAGTATAGAGTACTACAAAGGTTTGCTGATCACAACTGATAGATATTAAATTGACATTAGATTCAATTCGATAACATTATTATAAATTTTTCAAAATTACAGATAGCACAATCTCTAATATAATTAGATATATATAAAGTGAAATAATTACGGTACTTGAATAAATATGAATCTTCATGGAAAAAGTTATCAATAAAACCCAATATTTTATTTTTCTATTTCATAATTTTTAATTAAATTTATATTGATGTATAATTTTATTACAACATAAAACTGTATTCTTATATTATTTATTACATATAACAAAAATCGACCAGTAAAATGTATTTTTTAAAATCTCAAATTTTTACAAAATTCCTATTTTAATATATATAATAAAAACAAAATGGTTTTCATTAAAATTTTGAAGATAGACTTTTTTTTATTCCACCCTTATATGTAGTCAATAACACCGTATGATTTTAGTATCTGTCATTTATTTTTTTCAGCTCTCACTTAAACAATTATGACCTATACATCAAAAGAACACGATTTGAATCATGTTGGCTTGATATCAGCTCAACTTGCAAGTTTAGAATTTATAACATTAAATAGAAAATTTTATGTGAAATAAAATATTGTATTTTTAGAAACCTTTGGGATTTAATCAATGAATGTGGTTTTATAGTAAATCAAAAAAACAATGTAAATGTAAAATGGTAGTTTTTCCAAAATTAGTATAAAATTAGTTATTTTTTGGTCTTGTATGAGTATGAGAATAATTAAGTTACTATATATTTATTGAATAAAATAATATAAAATAATTTTCTTTTGGGATATGAGTACGAGGGTTTCATGAGAAGATTAAAATATAGAAAATCAAAGTGATGTTTGAAAATTGATTAATATAATAATAATTTGAAATAGAAATTATAGTGATTAATTATCCCACATAAATTATCAACAACGCCACTCGTACCAGTAGATATCTAAGCATGTATTGATTGTGAGTTGTGACAATAAATACCTTAAGTAGTATAGTGTATACAAGTGGGTTATCTATCTTCGCAAGAAAGCCTTTATTTGTATTAACTACATAGGTAACTCACTCAAAGATTGGACTAGAGTGGCTAACTCGGTATAAACGTTATTGATTTTCTTTATTTATTTAAATAATATTTTATTCTAGAGATCACTTAATTGCTCTGGTTCCCTACTTAATTTATGTACCCATTATACTAAACTTTAAACCTTATAAATCTTCTGTGAAATATGAATTTACCTTAATGATGTCAGAAGTAAGGTTGAAAAATAAATATACTTCAATTTTCTGTGTGCAATCGTAAATTTGTCGAGCCACTTCTTGAACTTGTTGAAAGTTCATAAATTGAAGGAGCAGAGAGTCGAATTGACAGTTATTATGCCCTTTTATATAAAATTTAATTCATCTATATATGCAAGAAGTGTCACGACCTTTAACTATTATCTGTTTATTACTCAATTGTGTTAGTTATTACATATTATTTTACTTAAAATAGATGATTTGGCACAACTAAAGAATTTCTTATAGTTATTACATTAGATTTGTATAAATGCATTTTTATACATATTTCTCGGGATAGTTTAAAAGATTGAAAAGAATAATATATATTTGATTTGATGACTAATAGACAATAATTTATAAACTACTGAATAATGTGTGGTGTATGTATTATAACAGTTTTCTTTTAAGTATCAAAGACAATCCAATTTCTATGTTACAAACTTACAACTCTCGGAAATTATTAATATAGTTAAATAGTGTTTATAATGAGAAGATTAATTTAAGTATTTTAAATTAATTATTTGTATGAAATTATTAATAATCAAAATTATTTTAAATTAAAAAAAATAAATGGAAACATATTTTTTATCAGTGCATTATAAAAGTATTTTTTTAATTATATATTAATGGTGGCCACAAGGATTCTATTAAAAAGAATCCCATTTTATTAACTTTTTAACTAAAGAGTTTTAAGTGACTAGAAAAATAAACAAATAAGTTAAGTTATCCCTATCAATACCGCATTCAAAAATGCAGAAAAGAATTTTTTATAATTAAAATAGTATTTAAAATATAAAAAATATAATGAAATTCTTTATGAATCTTCATTTACTAAAATTAAGTTGTTGAGATAGTAGATACACTTGTTAACTTAAAAACTTATAATTGGTTGACTTTTTAACTTAATTATATCCATAACTGTATATTATAATATTTGTATATTGACATAACAAGAATATTAAATTATTTCAGTTAAGATAAATTTATATTAAATTTGAATTTCTTTAATGAAATAATGTTACAAAGAAAAATAAGATTAAAATAAAATAACAAAACAACAATTAAACATAGAAAAAGTAAAAAAAATGTTTAGTGGTATACAAATAAAAATTTCAATTTATAATGAATATTAAGAAAATTGATATAAAATACAAAAATAAAATTTCATTCATAAAAATATTAATAGAATAGCTCGCCAGCAATAATTTCATTTTTGTGTCTTAATCTTATAAAAGGCATAAAATTTGCATTTATTGGTGTTGTATCTCCTCGAGACATTTTTTCTGCCAGCTCAACAGTAAATGGCCCACAATCATGTCCATTGGTTTGGCGAGATGTCTCGCCTATTTGTAATGTCCATGTAGAAGCTTTTCCTTTTTTGTCCATCTCCCATTCAATTAAGAAATTTTTTAATACCATTGGATAAGGACCCTTATACGACTTAAGACTATCATATGATGTCACAGTCTTTTCAGGTATATTAACCACTGTCAATATCCAATGACTCCCATATACATTCATGGGCACAAAAAGTAATTTTATTGTGTGAATATCTTTTTTTATCCATCTTCTTACAGCTGGATAACCTCCTCGAAGATACGCTACAATAAAATCAGTGACAACTGCATAAACTTCACCTTCTGACCGTTTTACTATCATTTTAATGTACTCATTAATTGTGTCTGAAGTATACCATGATGTGGGCGATTTAAATGAAGGTGCATTATACTGATCAAGAGATTTTGTGTTCTGATCTTGCATTACTTCTGCAAGTGTAACCATATTTAAACATTTTTCATAAAATTAATAAAAGACTTTGTTGAACAGTTTACTATTATTTAGGTTTATTTAAGGTTTTGGAATATGAAATTAAACACGTATAATTACTTTTGTTTAAAACGTCCATGGACCCCCTTAATGACACGCCTCTGCAGAAGTTATATTAATTTAACTCGTATTATTATAATTAATTATGTTTAATAAATAATCTTTTTTTATTTTATTTTACATAAAATAAATAGATTAAATAACTAATTACCTTTTTCTTTCTCTGGTACTTTTATTACTTCAACAGTGGACAGAGCAAGTAAATTTACGTCATTCGGCGTATTTAAGGTCAAAGGATTAGAACTAACTTTTGGCTCTAAAATAATTTATGTTTTAAAATATTACATATTTGTTTCAAAAATCAAAACGTTTATTATATTATTTTTTAAAAATGAATTATATTTTAAAAGTTGTATACTTTTTATGACTTTTTCATCTTCTTCGGGTGAATGTCTTTTTAAATTTGGTCGAGCAGAAGTATTAGAAGATATCTCAAAGAGTTGTTTTTTTATTTCGGAATTTTTGCGTTCCAAAATTTTCTTATGAAAACTCTAAACGGATCATAAAAATATATTTAATTATTTCTAGGCAACCAAAGAGATATTTAAATAAACAAATAAACTATATTTAATATTATATTATTATCTTCGATAAAAATTGAATTTCCCATAAAAATCTTATTGAAAAAATAGCAGAATAATATTAAACATTATGTTATCGCATTTATATTAAGGAGGTTAATAGTTTATTTTATATTTTTGAATCAGACAAACTCCAATAACATAGCTAAATCGAATAAATATATTAATATATAATTATAGTTACCAATTTTTCTGGAATAATTTTATCATTTTTATTCGTTTTTCGATACGTGCGTTTTTTTGGAATAATGGAATTTGTTATAGGATAAATATTTTTATTAATAATTGCTGCAAATTGAATATCATTTTAATAATTATTAATTAAATAATCAATTTCGAAAAAGTTTTTTAATATTAAAATAGTTAAATTAAAGTAAAGCGACTGAATTATTGTTATATATGAATAAGAGAACTTATTATTAATTGTTCTTATATTTTATATAAAAAAACTTTTTCTCTATTCGAAATAGTTAGTTTAATTATTAATCTTAATAGTGTTTACGGATAATTCTTCCATCTTTAGATGAATTTTTTGATATTTGTCCTTTATTAGTATTATTTAAAACATTATTGGAATACATGAAACGACGATTCCATATTTCTTCAACTCTGCGTATGACCTTATGTAAGTTTGATTCATTTGTTTGACCAAAAATATTTTTTTCACTTGCCATATCAAGAACTAATTAAATAAATCTTAATAATTACACAAGACGATAGTTTATTCTTCACGGGAAAAAACGGAGTGAACTAAAAAGTCGATAAAATCAACATTTACATCTAATTGTCAAGGAAACTTAATTGTAAAAATTCATTAAAAAAATGTATAAGCCAATTATAAATAAATTTAGTATAAACAATAATTATTTATTTTTATTTTATTATTGGTCAAGGAATACAATGTTAAGAGTTTATTACAGAGAATTATCAAAATATGTATATATTTTTTAAAGATTTTTTGAAGAAAAACCTTTTGTATTTGTTTGTTCATTTATTACATTAGTTTACAAATGATACAGATTTTTTTATGAAAGTTCAAGTGAAATAAATTTGATATCGGTTAACAGAATATTTATACATATAAAATTTAATCTGTATGAAATAAAATATCAACGTTTGGGGATTTATTGTCTTATATCTATTAAAAATTTTACCAAGGTGATTGCTATTACCATTTAAGATCGTGTCAAGTGGAAGTTTGGGATAAGGGTGGCCGACCCCAAGTAGTTGAGATTAAGAAGAAGAAGAAGAAGATATAGGTTGACTATTTTCGACTGATGATGAATTTAACAATATCCATAAAAAGTGTTATGATTTATTTATTTTTATGAATTGAAACGGGCAAAATGTGCAATAATAATATATTAATTAAAGTAATATATATATTAATTGATAAGCGTTGCTAATATTTTTTTTTACTTTATTTAATATCAAACGCCAAAAAAAGCAATTTACAAAAATAATATACATGATAATCTATATCAAAAAACAAAAAATATTGTAATAATGATTATTTGACAAGAAAACGATTCTGTACTTAGTTTATTTTATCATTTTATTTGAAACCAAATAGAAAACATTAAATAGATTAATTTTAGAAATATCAAATACCCCTCCAATTAATTTACAAAGTATGATTAAATTAGTGCAAAGTATGTAATCGATGGAGGATTTCTCCTTTATATAGTTATTTGATAAATGTATCAAACAACATTTTTTTCCATTTTCTTATTCATTTTCCCATTCTAAATTTTGATAGAATATATCTTCAAAAAAAGTACAATCTTCTTAATCTTCAATCTTTATTTCTATTGAATTTGTACGCCATTGATCTTTGCAATGTTCACATATAATAAAACATTTAAGCCCTGTTTTTCGGCAGCCACAATTTTTACAAGTTCCAGCACCTGGCTAAAGGCCAATACGCTTTATGACAATTATCTTTTTCATTACCAGAAATTCTGGTGGCAATTGACATCATATAATTGTTGTTTGGGAATGTACAATTTAGCGTTTGGTTGGGTTCAAACAATATAGCGTCAAATCAATTATCTACTCAATCGGTTGTATCTTATTATACACTACACTTTAATGATACAATAAATAAATAAACTCATACATACGCGCATATGCATTTATAACATTGTGTCTTATGTCAGTATAACATGAAAAAAAGTAACCATAAAATGAAAAAAATGAAAAATAAATTTTAGTACTCATATTAAATATAATGTAACTCTAAAAATATTTATTTAAATGAAAAAATAAAAGATACCTTTTTTGTTTAAAATTGTCTTTTAAACAACTTTTGTATGAAACTCTTTTTTGTAAGTTAAATATTTTTTGAGAAAATTAAAAAAGCTCATATTTTTTAACTTTTGCAAGGCTGTAAAAAAAAATGCTCAATTCCAATCAATGAGGACTTTTACTATGTCATTATACATATCTTAATTCAACTTTTAAAAAAAAAAAATTTGGTTGGGAATTTTTTCCACATATTCGACAAAATTACTCCTTCGTTGACTGGCCTATTATTAATATATCTTTTTACGCCGTTGTAATGATTGTAAAAAAACCACAAATTATGTGAAATTTATATGGATTTTATATAGTTTGAATAAAAACTATATGTTTAATCCTGTACAGTATATAATAATTCTAATTCATATAACACATTATCATTATATACAACGTTTATGTTAAATTATTTCAATTAATGAGGACTTTTAGTATGTTATTATACATATCTTCATTCAACCTTTTAAAAAATAAAAAATTTGGTTGGGAATTTTTTCTGCCATTTTTCCTTTATTGACTGGACTATAAGGTCATGTTATTATTTTATGACACACCACATTTCATTTGGTTGCGATTCTTGGGAAATGTGAAAACATATATATATAATTTTTATTAATTAATATAGATATAAAATATAAATTAAAATAACTATAATAGTAATAATTAACATGAAAAAATATAAAAAAAGTCGAAATTAATTAATCGATCATACTTAAAAGTACGATGAGTTGCTATTATCAATCTTTGAAGAAATAATCGATGGAAAATATTATAGAGGAATACTAAGATTGCTATACATAAGTCAGATAATAGAAGATCAAAGATGTAATTCATATCAAAGTTGAATAGGAAGGCTAGTGATAGAGAAACATAGAAGTTGCTGCAAAACAATCATTAAATTGAATACTGCGTAAGAAAAAATTAAAATAATAAAGCGGCGTATACCGTAGGCATCGGGTATAAAGCAGAGAGCTTAACTTCTCCGTTTGCAATTTATTCCCCCAAAAAATTGAGTAAAATTATATACATTGTTATATAAAATTTATTTTTTAGGGAGGGAATAATTAAATTGAGTCACCATTAAAATACTGAGCACCTACTCTTATAGTGTACATAGAGGGTAAATATGACGTGTTTTGTACAAAAGCCACGAGGATAGTTGGGTTTGATTTGTTTTTCTAAGTTGGGTTGGATTGAGTTTATAGAGTGTAACGCCAAAAAGGTAACGATCGAAAATGTTCACTCCAGCGGAAATACTCAGACGTAACTTAAGATTTTTCCACATGAAAAATTATAGACCCGCTTCTCTTGTATTAGCCTTACTCGAGAATTTTATCAGTTACCTAAAAAATCATAGTAAAACTATATATTAATTATTTAGAATCGTATTCATTGTATTCGGACTAAATACTTATCGGAGTATTAGTACTCGGAATATAATAAAGTCGTGGCAGTACATAGAACCTTTTCCTTTCGTGTGTCATCGTTAGTTGTCGCTTTTAGGCTTGCAACAAAATTTTATTATCTCTACCAAGTACCAACATTTCCGACCACTACTTCTCCCCTATCCAACACGACACCTCTTGTTAGTTGTTCATGTCATAGTATATACATCCTTGTCGGCTTTATCTTTTTTGTTGTGTCTATTTTTATTTGTGAAAACATTAAATATTAACTTGTCATTATTTCGATCACCTACAGAGAATTTTATTTCCGTATATCAGTGATTCACATTTTAATGTCTGAAGACTAAGCGATAAGAAAGCAAAAATCACTCTAAATTTGTTAGTTTTTAATTCCTTCTTCTTAGTCAAATTTAAAGTGAGTTTTAACTTTAATTTATAATACAAATTTACTATTATAAACAGTTATTTAGTATACGAGTGTAGTGACCTATCAAATGTTTTTTTAATGATAGGAAATTCATATAATATAGAAGGGTTATATGTTTTTGGGCGTTTTAAATTGTTTGATTCTAAATATATCATTGATAACTTTAAAAAATATTCAAATAAATATCACAATAATATTAATATTTAAAATTACTTTTATATATTTTATTAATTATATTGAATTTTATTTGCAGATATATTCATAAATTTGACACTTGATCATTTGTGTTATGTTTGATAGAAAATTCCAATAGTAATAATATCAATACCTAAGAAATTTACTTAGGTATGTCACGTAAACAAAAATGGCGATCCAAATCAGAAGATTCTTTTGAAGATATTCCAATATCTCTGACAATTGAAACTTTGACAGGTACAGCTTTTGAAATAAGCGTATCACCCTCTGATTATGTAAGTTCACTTAAGGCAAGAATACAACGAGTTGAAGGTAAATTTATTGAATTATTTCTTGTAATTTGTTTTTTAAAAATTTTAAATTAAAATAATTTTAGGAATCCCAGTCAATCAGCAACATTTACTTTCAGGAGAGAAAATTTTATCTGACAATACTACAATAGCCTATAATAACCTTTATAATGGGGCAACATTGCGATTGGTATTGTCATTACAAGGGGGACCCATTGGAACAAGTCGAAGAATGTTACCTCTTGATAACGAAACCATTAAACAATTGGTGGATCTTAATAGGTGAATACAAAGTGTTATATTTTATGTATAATTAGTAATTATGGTATGATTGATATATATCTATTTTGTAGTTCTTAATTACTTACCTTTAAATTACATTTTTAAGAGATTAAGAATGATTTAATAGGGCAGGTATATACTATTTTAATTAAAGTAAAACTATATTTGATTTTGAAGACGCACCTTTTGAGCTCCCAAATCATAAAAAATGATATAATATTATTTAATAATTTATATATATTTTGTATATGTCCAATTAGACCAATCTACCCTTATATAAATTAAATTTAAATTAGTAAAAATGCTGAAAATCTTTAAACTCTCAAACATTTAGTAATGTTTGTCAATTATAGTTAAGTGAACTAAAATATTAATTCTGACTTATATCACAAGTTAAGTATTTTGTGACTTAATAAAATTATTGAATTAATTGCATTTTAATTTATTTTATTTCTCCGTTCTTTAAATGTTATTATCTGTTTGTGATATCTTACTTTATAAAATTAAAAAACTTTTGGGTACCAAATTCTACTGTATACTACATCAAAATCATATATCATTATATTTTAATTCTTAACCTTTTATTTATATTTAAATTAAATAACTGAGATCATATTGAAAAGATTAAAGAGAATTTTCAAAATGTATTTTTAGAAAAGAAATATTGGAAGATGCCCCTCCAGGAAGTAAACTTGCAGTATTAATTTTTCGTGAAGGAGAAGTTATTAATTTACTTCGAGTGATTGAAAACAATGATGGTTCTATTACGAATTTAATGGAATCTCCCAGGTAAGTTTTTATCATATTTACTTCCAAAATAAAAAAAGCCTTAACCTCATGTTATTTGGATTCAGAAAAATATCTACTGAACAAACAGAAAAGAAAAAATGTAAGCAATCTGTTGACAATAATGTAACATATCGAAAAATGATGCAGTTAAAACATAAATTAGAATCACTTTCTATTTCATCTAAAAGCAAAGTAAATATTTACAAAACCAAAAATTTTTATCACATCTCTTAGCAAAAAAAAAATTATATAACCAAATATAAATTTTTCCTATAACAGATTTCTTAATATTAAATTATATGTTGAAATGTTGAAAAATGGTATTCATGGTATTTTGTTCAATAGGGATCATATCATTTAAAATAAAAATGATGTATTTGTCGGATAGGTAAATTGCTAAAAGAGCATTCATAAATATTAAAATAAAATAGATAAGTGGTTTTAAAGTTCTTAGGTATGATTTAGAAAATTAAAAAGATTGATCAGTTGTTTTAAAACTATATTACTAAGAATATGTGTTCTAAATGAAACAGAAAAATTTTATAATATCTAAGTAAAGAGAGTATTGATGTAAAAAATTTTGTGTTGAATATTTTGTTATAAACATAAAATTTATTTTATGTAGAGATCTTATGATCTTAATTTAATTAAATTAAATTTATAATATACAGATAGCCTAAAACTATGGTTACTTTTGTTAACTTATATATCAATTTTAATTTAAAATATAATATTTTTTTAGAATGACAGTTATTTTTTCTATTCAATTAAGGTGAATCTTATTTTTTAATATTTAACAAATTTAAACACAACAAAACTGATTTCAGTTGAACATTCATTAAAATTAAAAAATTAAAATTACGTAATATACCTAAATTTATCTATGTGTTTAATATAAATAATTTAAGTATACAGTTATTAAGTATATTATAGAGTATAGTTTTGAATATTAGTTTTTAAAATTAAATTAAATATTATGTAGTTTGGTAGAAAATATTATGATATATTAACAATATATATATTTATTATTTTGTTACCATAACATAAATTTGTTATAAGTCAAAATATTTATATGCTTTATAGTTAAAATAATTTAAGTGCAAAAAAATTAATTTTAATAATTTTATTAAATAATTTAATGGCTTATTACTATGACCAAATTAAAATGGTAAATCTTTTTATTTTTCTCATTTTTCAGTGTAACAAACTCTAATTGCAGTGTAATATTTTTCCAAATCTCATTTTCACTCTATAGTTATTTTTCACTCTTAATAAACTTCTAACTCCATTAGGATTATGTGTGTTTAATTTAAAGTTTAACACCTCAAAGGCGTAATAAGTACAAATATTTAAAGTTTTAAAAAAGATTACCTAACAGCAACTTGTTAAACTTATTTTATGAGCATAAATATATTAATCTTTGTAAATTAATTTTTTTAGCTAAAAAAAACCAAACCTGAGAATCGAAAATCTATTACAACTTCTGATAGATCACAATTAAATACTGAAAAAGATAATAGTAAACGTCATACTTGGAGATTACCTAAAATTGTTCAGCCTTCAACAGGCTTGGAAAAATATGTGCATAGTGCAGAATTTTCAAGAATACCTGTTTTACCAACAATTGCTAGTGCATGCTCTGAAAAAAGTACAAAAACAAGTACAACCAGACAAATTTGTCATTTAATGAATGATCCTAGACACACTGGCAGTACTTCAAGTATTGACAGGTAATTTTAATTGTATAAATATTTTGACATAAACATTTTTAAAAATAATTTTATTTGATAGAATTTAAGTATTAAAATAGTAACTAAAAAATTTAATTAAATTAATACATAGTTATCAAAAAAAATTATATTAAAAATACTTAAATTCAATGAAAAAATGTTTAATCATATTATCAAAATTAAAATTGTATAAATTAATATTAATGTTTAGTGTACAATAAAAAGAACAAATAAATAAAATTTGAAGCATCATCATACTCAACATAAAAAATTATATAGGTTTCAATAATTTTTTTCTATAATGAATTTTTATTTCTTTATTAATTCAAAGATTAATTTTTAACAAATTGTTCACAATAAATTCCTTCTCCATTCTTCTCTATCATTTGTCATATTTTTGAGCTCTCTGTAAGAAGTGACTTCTGCATTATTTGGCTAATGTATCTTGTCCTAGGTCTTCCTTTTGATCTTGTTCCTTCAATTATTGCATTTACATTCAATTATATGCAATTCATCTCCATGTCTCAATGTGTGTCGTATCATCTGCCATCTCTTTATAATGTCTATCAATGTTTGTTTTTCATCTATTGTCTGCATTTGATTTTCTATCAGTCCAGCTTATTCTCTGCATCTTTCTCCAACACCACATCTCCAGAGCTTCTAATATATCTTTCTCATTCTTGTTAATTGTCCAGGTCTCACTTCCGTATAATGCTACACTCCAGACTTATGTTTTTATGAGTTTTTCTTTGTTACTATGTTCAAATTTCTTGATGTTACTATTTTTCTCTTTTTAAGGAATATATTCTTTGCTTGACCTATCTTGCTTTTGATTTCTTTGGTTGATTTTCCGTCATCTATTATAATGCTGCCTAAGTATTTGAAATAGTCTACTTGGATAATTTCTTTTTTTTCTAATGTTATACTTCTAGATGGTATGTTTTTCTTGTAGCATACTAGGACTTTGGTCTTAGCTGCGTTTATTTTCAGACTATAATCCTAAAATGTAATATTCATTACATTTAATGCTGTTTGTAAGTCTTCCTCAGATGTTGCAAGAACGACTATATCATCAGTAAAGCGAAGTATTGTTTTATTAGTACCCCTCCTATTCACTCCAATTTCTTTTTGTTCTAACCAAAGCTTTATGGCGTTTATTGCTTTTTCAATAAATACGTTGAACAATACAGATGAAAGTGGACACCCTTGTCTCACACCTTTTTGGATTCTGGCACTCATTGTTGTTGCATTAATATTAATAATTTAATGTTAATTTTTTATTATATGTACTTATTTAAACATATTTATAATATGTTTCTTGTTCTTCATAAATCTTATAGAGAATATGTCTGTCTTTAAAATCTAACTCTGTTTCTTCCAAAATTAAAGAGACTTCTGTAATGAATTATATTGATTATTCTTTTCAATATCAGTATTTCAGAATCTGGTACAGACGTTGAAGTATCTAGTGCTGATTGGTCTAGACGTCCAAGTACCTCATCATTGCTGTTGTCACATAATATACATATTAATGTATCTAGACAAACATCACCGACTGAGCAAATGGCAACTATGTCTCTTACTAACAATACAGGATTAGGTGCTATACACAGAATTTTAAATAGGTCGGATATGCCTATTCAATTGGATGATAATGATGAACCAATGGGAACTGAGCATAAAAACGAAGAAAAACCTACTTCAATTGCTGTAGTAAAGGATCTAAGCAATACCACTACTGAAACTCAAACTGTTGAAAAAAAGAAAAAGCGATGTGCCCAATGCAATAAAAAACTAACAATTAGTGCCCAATATACATGCCGATGTGGACTTATATTTTGTCCAGAACACAGGTAAATAAAAATTAAATTTTATTCTTGTATTTATATTCTTTATTTGTTTGTAGATAAATTGGTTAGATTATAATTAAATCTTATTCATTAGTTGATAATATACATAAGAAAAAACTGAGCTTTCCATAAATGAAATTAATTTAAAAATAATAGAACTAATTTTATTTTTATAATAAAAAATATTTATTGAAAATAATGTCAAATACATTTACTGATAATAAATAGCAATTATCATAATTCCTTTGTTTTATTATAGATTAGATTTTTATTAATGTAATTGAGATAAATTACAAAAGTATAAGTGAAATAAAAAAAAATTTCACAACCATTCCTTTTCTTTGGAATACTATATATTTTTTGTTATAAAGTTCATTAAAATTATAAGATGCATAGTTAAAAATAAAAAGTATATACAAATTCTTAACCAGCATAACTAGTTAAAAAAAGTCCCACCATAAATGTGTTAACTTCAAGTTCTTTAAAATGAAAATATATTACTAAATGATTTTTATTATGTATCTCTCGTTGTCATACTTATCATAGCATGATACCCAAATATTAAAAGGTTTTTTTTTTGTCAATAGCATTAATGTTATATTAACTTTATTCATACTATAATTATTATCATCTTGGTATATTTTTTTAATTCTTTGAATTATTTTAGGTATTCAGAGTCACATAATTGTTCTTATGATTATCAAAAAAATGGTCGTGATTCAATTGAAAAGAACAATCCATTAGTTGTGAGACCAAAGTTACCAAAAATTTAATAGATGGTTGAAAATACAATATTTAAATATATCTCTGTAGTTAATAGCTGTATAGATATACACTGACACGCAAATTTGTATGAAAATTTATTTGCAAATACGAGTTATAAACAATTCATTTATCTTGTTTATCCTTTTTCTTGACGCTGCAATATTTATTGAGTATTATATTTGTGTAATCACTCAAAATGTTGTAAGTGGATTCTAAGAGCTTTTTATTGTGTTTAACACCAATCTACTAATTTAGTTATACAATGATTATCTTCCATTTAAGCAATTTATAACTATTTCTAAAAATTAATTATATTTATAGACATTTTTTGTTATTAGGTATATACATAACGGGTAAAAAATTAATTATACTTGAAAATGTATTTTTATTTCTAAACCTCAAATTATCCTGTATTTCTTTGAGTATAAAAAAAAGGGCTCGTTATTTATGAAATTATATATTATTATATTTTGTGTATTTGAGTACAACAAATTATAGACATACATAAACAATAGATATTGATCAGAGAAGCACATGGCTTCAATTCAATGTCATAAAAAAAAAGTATTTAAATTAATAAAAAAAAAAAACAATTTTTATCACACTTCAAATTTTCTTAAGTTTTTATACATAAAATATAGATTTCAAAAAAAAAAAATTATTTATGCTACTAAAATTCAAAGTATAATTATTTTTGGTAACTTATAACTAACAAGAACAAAATGAAATATATACATTAAATAATAAAGATATGTTATTGTAATTGTTATGTCTATCTTAGGATATTAACTAAAGATATTCAACTTGAAGTAATATGATAAATAAATACAAAGCTATTTCTAGGTTAAAAGAACGGTAGCGAATAACAGTGTTAAAATTAACATTAACGTTAAAATTAAAACTAATGTTCTACTTTGAATTATATTTCTCTAGCTCTTGAAGTATTAATCTTGCTTCATTTGCACACATATATTTCATACGAACTTCAGGTGTTAGTAGAGAAGCTATATATTTAGTATAAGTAGATCTAGCGACATGTCCTGAAACAAATGGAATATTTTTTGTATTAATGATATAAAATATTTTATATAAGTGTTGTGCTGTAAAATTTTGACTTAAAAAAACTAGCAGTGGATTACATAGTTATAATTTATTAATTAATGCAAATTAAAGAAAACTATTAGAAATTGATAAAAATATTATGTCTTAATTTTATATACTATATTAGATAAAATATTTTCTGAAGTCAACAAAACTCATAGTACTTAATATACAACTCAGAATAATGTATTGTTTACCCAACAAAGTTTCTTAGTTTATTTAAACAGTTTAATTTTGAAAATTAAAGTATTTATTTATATGTTTTTATTAAGAAAATTTAATTATTAACATCAATTAGTTTTTACCTATAAATATTTTTAAATTGCTTTTACTGTAAGCAATATCTAGAATATAATCAACTTAAAAAAAAAAAAAAATTATAATTATTATATGATTGGCTATTTAATCAACTAAATTTATCTTGTCAACAATTTGATTCGACAATAAAAAACAAAAGGGCAAATTGAGTTTGATGTTTTGGTGACTTACTAACAAAATATAGGTCTTTTTCTAAATATGAGATTTATTGAAAAAAAGAAATCATTATTAAAAGATTTTAAGTATCAAATAGGTTATATAAACAGTTTGCCTACCTTAAAAAAACAATATATACATATATATAATAAATAATATTGAATTTTTTAACTGAATATATTTCATGATTAGCTATTAATTACTTTTCAGGATTATCTCTTATAATGAATAAAGGTGTTAACATCATTTTTTAAAGGATAACATACATATTCAATTAACTAATTAATAAAATGACTGGTTGATAACAAATTTTGGACAAATAATTTGAATGTTATTCTAATTTTTATACCTAGATGAGACGAAAAGTTTGATTGAGAAATGATTTGTAATAAAAATAACAACACCCATTACTCACCTCTAGTAATTATTTTAAATTATTTATAATTTCTAAAATACTGGTCTAAATGTTGTTATCAACCAGTCATATATTTAATTAGTTTATTTTCTATTTTTAAAAACTGATTAAATATGTATGTATTACCATTAAAAAAAAAATTGACAAACCTATACGTTATAAGAGATGATCATAAAAAGTAATTAATAATTAATAAATCAAGAAAAAATGTAACTAAAAGAAATCAAAACTTCTTTTGTGAATATTATATTTATTTTAGAGTAATCGAGTGATTTATGATAAACCAACTACCATGTATATATATTTGATGTCCCTGAAATATTGTGATTTGAAAAATATCAGAGAAAAAAATAAATGGCATCTTATTATGTTATAAAAATTTTTATTCTTGAATTTTTAAGGAACATGAAATATTTTTTTGTTGAAATAATTTGATTTTCAAGTTTAATTAATTTGAATAAACAATTCTAAGCGATCTTTTTTTTTTAAATATCAAATGTATACCTACCATGATTATTTTTGAAATCTAACCATAATTGACTAATGTTTGGATGCCCAATTTTCTTTGCACATTTAAAAATCTGAAAGAAAAAAAATTTAATAATAACATTAAGAATGGTATTAGGGTGTGTATTGAGTTTATTACTTTCCTATGATCAAGATTTTGTATAAATGATCTACATTTGTCAATTTGTAGCATATTAGGTATTAAATAATTTCACTTTTTTAAATTTATAATAAAAAATACAGTAATACTTACTGATGGAGATTCCAAAATAGAGAAAAAATGTACTTTGATTTTTTCTTTTTTTTCATTAGATATAGTTAGATGATTGTCATGTCTACCACGTTCGTCATTAGGAAACAAATATTTTGCTTTTATTTTTTGACATAAATTACGTACCAAAGCCATTGTTGTGCCATGTAAAATAACAAATGCGTTTTTACAAACATCACGAAAGATACCAAATTCTTTTACTCGGTATTGAAAAAATTTAGATGATTTTCCTTTATCGTAGTAGTTTAATTTCTTTTGTTCGTTCATTGATATTAAAGCGAATAAATAAATTCGTTTTTCTGACATTGTTAACTTCGACATTTCTGTTTTAAGACGAATTCGAAAATCATCTTCAAACATTTTTAAACAGTTGCATGAGCAACACTGTTTTTCATTTATTTCATCATAATTTAAGTCTTTTTTGTCATCTAAATTTTCGTATTCATCAATTACGAAGTCTTCATCTAAACAAAAATGATCTTCATCCATTTTATATTTTAAAGTTTTACAAAATAAATCTGAAATTAGTTTCGTTGATTTGAGTTAAAAAAAAAAAGTTTAAATAATTCTACAACCTAATAATAGAAATTAAAAAACTCTAGACAAAAATGAACAACAAATATTTTTAAAAATTACAAGCAGCAGATTTGTACAAAAATAACGTCTATTAAATAAAAAAATATTTAAAATTGATAAGATGTAAACTTCCCTCGTATTTTAATAACTACGAATTTATGATAAGAAGAAAATTTAATGTTCATAAGCTACACATGTTGAACACGATATCACTAATTTTATTTTATTTATATAACAATAAAATGAGTGAAATATTAGTTAACAAAATAGAACCATATATGTATAATCAAATCGTCTTAATTTACTATTGAGTAATTTTATTTATTTTGTTTTTAATACATAGTTTGTAGTGTAGAATTTTGTAACAGTTGGTAATATAACGTTTCGATTTTATAATACTTAAATATAAGTAGCAAACCCACAATATTTATCTGAATATCTTTTCAAGTGAAAGATTTTCTCTTCTAAGAAATAAAAGTATGTAATTATTAAAAAACATAAATTTAATAGTATATATATTATTACATATTTTTATATAATCAATAAAAACTCAAATAATTGATAAAAAAGTAATTATGTTCAATGCTTTGTTGAAGTATGCCAACCTATTATGGTTCATATCATTTAGGAATACTCTATGGATTATACGCTTAATATTCACTGATAACAGATGAAATTGATAACACTGCACAATATTTTACTCGCTAAGAAAATAAAAAACCACACATGAAACGAGTGATTTCGGTCTCTGCATCAGACGTGTGTTCGTCGTGTATTCTCTCAAGTCTTATTAAATTTACATAATTTTTACAAAAAAAAAATGTTAATTTCTCTTCCCTTTCAATTTTTTATTTGTGATGTAATAATGATAATAAATGATAAATATTTTATTTAAAAGTATGCTGCCTATTAGGAGTTTTTCTAATTTTCAAACTATTTCTAGTTTCATCAGTAATCACAAGTGATAGAGTCACATGTTATATATTTTGAAGAACGGCTACAGTTACCCATGTTATAAACATTATTGTCAAAAATAATTATGGACGGAAAAATAAAAAAAATCTACAAAATTGTTTTAACTGGTGGTAAGATTATTTTTTTATAAAAAAAAATTACTCTTAGCCTATACAAGTCAAATTACTTTGCACTCTAGAAGTGTTTATATTTATTATATAATTCAATTTATAAATTAAAAAAATTACTACATCAGTAAGAGTTATCAATATAAAAAAAATATTTTATACAAATAGAGTTGAAACTAATAACAATACTTGTATTTTCATTTAACTAGTTATGTTTAATGTTATCAGTGATAATTTAAATGATGTAACACATGTTTAATAACGTATAAAAATTACATAACAAAAGTATTTAAATTTATCTTCATAACTTATAAAATGTAATTAACGTTAAAAATTCATCATTAAAAATTAGAATATTTGTTAATATATTTTTAAAATAATTTTTTATGCATTGAATAGTTTTTAAAACGATTTAATAAAAAATGATTTTCAGTTAAAAAATTAAAAAATGGGTAACTATTAAAAATGCATGTGTTTATTAATTAATTAATAATATTTAGTCAATTTTCTTAAAAAAAATACGTAGATAAATAAATCTACTGAAAAAAAAGTAACTATATAGTTTATATTTGATTCAAGTTAACTAAAAAAAGTACATTATCTTACAAAATTAATGTAATATTGAATTTGACTTAATAATAACCACATTAAATTTTTTATCTCAAAATTTTTTACTTATATTTGCATATAAGATCACCGTCAGTTTTTATTTTTTAGAAGGTTATAAAAAATGTATAAATTCTCCACGAAAATATATCATGTTTAACCTTATAATTATATGTAATTTTGATCAATTTCGGGAAGGACATACATAAAGTTTTAAAGGTCGAAATATTTCGGGGTGATATTACTAGGTTATGTATGAGTAGTTCTGTTAATTTAATTTGTGCTTGTAAATATTAACTAAATTATGTGCTCTGAAACGCATTTGACGGGTTTTTATGTTATTACAATTATAAAATCTTGTTATTTAATTAGTTATTAATCATTTCTAATAAACATCAATAATTCTGTTAATTTTATTTGTTAATTGTTTAGTCGATTTTCATATAACTTGCTCTCACAAAAGATTTGATTATGTGTTATTCATCTAACACGTGGATTCTAGTTGTACAAAATNATTTTATTTGTTAATTGTTTCGTCGATTTTCATATAACTTGCTCTCACAAAAGATTTGATTATGTGTTATTCATCTAACACGTGGATTCTAGTTGTACAAAATGATAAATATTTATTAAGTAGTTTTGTAACCGATTTACTATCAATATTAGCAAAAGCAAAGGTTTAATAAACAATGAATGGTGCTATTTCATTGTACTTTTAAATTTGTATTTAAGAGTAAAAGAGTTGATTACAATAAAAAAATGAACAGTGTAATACACTATCTGAACATTTGCGTAGTAATTAAAAAATTGTTGACTTAAATTTAAATATGTATTCTTGATGTAAAAACGACGCAATAGTTATTTTTTTCGTATATATGAAATTTAATCATAAAGTCATATGTAATACTCTTCTGCAATAAGTAAAAAGCAAAATAATTTTAAACTCTTCTTTTTTTTTTATAAATAATATAATTTTTAAGTCAATGCAAATTAATTTAGTGGTTTATAAATTACCATGCTATTTGTTTTCGTTTAATTTTCAATCGTGAATATTTGATTTAGGAGCTCCTCTAGGCGTAGTTCTAGGTAGTTCTGAGCACAATCCTTAGGATGTGTTAACCAAAAGCAGGTCTTCTCTATAAGATTGTCACCCAAACAAAATACTTTTTTTTTTGGTCCCCATAAAAAATCTAGATCCGTCCTTGTTTTGGTATTTTATTTTTTGAACATAGCTGTAATCCAATTTTGATTGGTTGAAAGGACATGTGCAATGATTTTCTATAACCCTTTACATTATGATGTTAGCAGTTATTATAATTATTTTTTAGTGGCCCATATGAATGTTAAAAGGACAGTTTTTAAACATTTTGGAAGCTTTTATGTATTTATTGCGTGTTTCGTGACCCATTATTGACTATTATTTAACAGTGAAAAATTAAGGTTACTTAAATAATTTGATTAATGTGGTAATCATATACAGTAGTCTTACATTAATTTCCCATGACACCGTAGTCTTTATTTAAGGATAATATGAAGCCTTATATTACCTATTTGATTTGTTAGGTTCAACTTTCAAGGATTATATTATGACAGCAAAGTTCAAATTAATATAATTCTACTTATAACAAAGTTTAAAAAAAATATTAAAAATAGTTGGTATGTATAAAAAAAATTATATTAAAGAGACTTTTTGATGCAATTTTTACTTTTATTTTGGGATTAAAAGGTTTTTATTATGAAATTTAATGTGTTTTTTTAGCTACTCAATTTTGCACGTGTAATAATTAGAGTAAAAATATTAAAGTAAATAAGTTGAATAATGTCTGTTAAATATGTTAAATGAANGTAATAATTAGAGTAAAAATATTAAAGTAAATAAGTTGAATAATGTCTGTTAAATATGTTAAATGAACACATTTGTAAAATGTTTACAGTTCTTCATAATTTGCCCAACTATTACTGAGTTCTGTAGGTTTATCTCATTTATATTTTGGCACTTGAGGCTGTTATTATTATTCCCTTTGCCATAAAGACATTAATCATGCATCGTGATTTATGGCGGTTGCGGAAAAATAATAATTAAAATAGGTCTTAAGGTACGTAGTGGGTATTTTTATTAATAAATTTTAATTTAAAAAATAATAAAGAAACGCTGTTATTTAAAAAAATCTTCAAGTTTTAGAATTCTTTTTAAAAAATAAAAACTGTTTTCAGTTCTCTATTTTTTTTTTCAAATGACGAATTTTGATTAATCTAAAAAAATGTTAACAAATTTCACATATCAAAATGTTTAGCTGAGACGAGTAATAATTTTTATGTTAAATTCTATGTTCTATATATATAAGCATAGTTATATAATATATATAATTTTATATAATATATAAATTGTCAAGGTATCAGTAGACATTTAAATTATTAAATGGTGTTCTAAACAGTGGTGCGTTATTACATTATGTATGATACATGTCTTAATAGCTTTAAGGAATGTATAAGTACTATGTGACTGAATATCTTCCTTTTCCTCATAAAAAAAAACTGGACACTATTGTTGTAAAATACGATAGATAATGAGATTCGACGGATGATTGGGTATCAAGATACTGGTGTTTTTTTTTTATTTCTATTTTAATAGTAATTATTTAACATATCAGTGAACTGATTTTAAAATTCACTATAATTGATTAACTGAAAATTACAATATTTAATGAACAATATATAATTTACTTTTATATTATTTTTAAAAAAACTTCATATTGAAGTTGAAAAATATTATTTTTTAGAAAAAGCTGTATCAAAATTATCTCATTTTACGTTAATGGATACGGTGTTTTTTTACATTTTTGTGTACATAATAAAAAATATATTCGTTAGTCGGTTTGTTGATGAGGTACCTATAGCCACTACGAATCAATATTTTTAAGGTTGTATACGAACTGGTGTTCTACCTTTTCTTCTTAATGTTTATACATATGTTTAAAACAACAAAGAACCATCTGTTTTTTATAACTATAACAATAAAAAAGATATTGTTGACCATCCTAATGATATATTATGTACCTAAAACAACCATTACTTGTAAATATATTTTTTAGTGCATCAATATGTGAAATTTACATAACTAACATATTGTTTTTAATTGTTTATAAAAATGTTAGTATTGTAAATTTGTTTACTTAACTCCAAAAAATTTTATAATTTTATAATTTAAGCAGTTTGTTGTTGAATAGAAAAATGAGTGTTTTTAACTGTCATGGATTTTAACAAGATACTAATAAACTATAGTTAACAACACGTTTTCAATTTAAAAAATATCAAAATAATAATAATTCGAATGAATTCATTAAAAATTTACATAAATTTGATCATAAAACATATTAATGTAACATTATTATTATTATATTAACAAAATTATAACAATAATACGTGTGATAATAAAATTAAGTATTTTTTTCTAAATAAATACTTATACTCTTAATGCATTAAAATAGATAAAAAAAAATTATAAATTGAAAATCTAAGTTTCACATTAGCGTAAAGGATAATTTTCTTTATTCGACTTATACTAAACTCTAAACTGGCACTGCACTATTATTTTTTGTATTTATAAACTGAAAATTATTCTTCTGTTTTTTTTTATCTAACCAAAAGTAGTTGTATTAATTATTAATATTGTATAAATATCAAGAAAAGTTGATGAATTAGTAATCAGTAATCATTATCAGTATTCTTTGATATGATAATGCTTACGATGCAATTTTAGTTAGTTTCTTTTTAATGAATTAACTATGTATAATAAAAATTAATTGATGTATAGAACTTATGATACAATGTAGTATACTGTTGTTTTAAAAGTTATTCTAGACGTGTCGTAGGTATATTTAAAGGGTTATCTACGGCCAAAGAGATATGTTTTGACTTTTTACAAAGTAGGTTATTTTTTTTCTTGGCGTCAGTGACAATCATATTACCAGTTATATATTATGCCTGTAGTACATAATACTTTAGTATTCTGCAAAGAATCACATTTATTTTTATATGAAATAATGCCACATAATTATACCGTATAATTATACGCCTTTTCTCAATGAATTTTTATAGTTTGAAATTTTAATCATGAGAATGTTATCCTAACCTAACCAAAAAAAAATTGTTGATTTTTTTTTTATTAATCTGAAGGTTTAGTTGATACTTGCTTGCTGTTTTGATTTTAAGAAGTTCAATTTATAGAAATAAATTATTTAGAAAATTAGTAAATTAATTTTGCCTTTTCTTACTCTAACGGTTATGATATTTGCTACTATTAAAACTCCCTTACGATCAATCACCAACAGTGGCAGTTCGTATCTGTTATGTTGTAGATTTTAATGTTCTAAAAATAACATATAAGTGTGTGCTGTTATTAATACATTAGAAAAAATAAATTTAAATTATTCTCAGGCTTCTTAGTGAATAATTTTTTAATTGTTCAGCTAATTATAATAATTATATGTTAATTGTTTATTCTAAAAAATTCTATGTATTTAACAATTTATAATTAATTTTAAATTCAAACTTCCTTGAATTATGATAGACTGTGCGTGTTATGAGTAATTTATTTTGATATTTTACTTCAAAATAACTGTATATTTACATATAGATATTATAATTTATTTAAATTATATTAATAAATAAAATTGGCAAAAACATTTAATTTTATTCATATTTAGACTAACCTAATGATGCAAAATCACGCTAAAATCATAAATTTTTTGAAAATATGTAAATTATGAATAGGATTTTCATGCCAATTTAACATTGTAGTTTTAACATAATTGGTTATTATAATTGATTTAGAATAATATTAACAGCCTAAATATAACAAAACCATTTTAGTTAGTTCCAATTTATTTTTTAAAAAACAAACAATGTTTGTGACAAATAACTCAATTTTTTAACAAGATATCAATAGACATTTTTATCATGTGTCAGGAATTAAAGTATGTGTATATTTTTGGAATACTCAAATATATCATCATTTAAAGCTTAGTTGCTCGTGATTATTTCTAAATAATAATTATATATTGTAAATTATAATTTTTTATCGATGTTTAATTGTAAAAAAAAAAGTTTAAATTACATTTGTAGCTCATCCGTATTTTTTTTGCTGAATTCACTGCGCATTAATAAATAACTAAGTTTCAAGGTTTTTGTTTCAACTACTTATTTTCATTGAAAATATTAAGGCCGAAGTCAAACTACTATTTAAGTCTTTTATGACTCATTTATAATTTAAAAATCTTTAAAAAAAGTTAAACGCTATAATATCAATTATTTTTATAATTCAAAAATATATGTCGAATAGAAATTTTATATTTTAATTACATTTCCAGTCACAGTGTAATTAATCAATTTTAATCTTGAAAATTTATCTCTTAGTTAATTTACCAACTTGTATCAAATTATTATAATTTATTTTTGGTCACCAAATAATATTGTTTACTATATTATTAATCACTTATTGAACGAATGATTTTATTTTGTGGATTTCAAAGTTTGTGTGTATTATTTTTATATTATTATATATTTTTAGTAATTGCCGTGATAATTAAACTAAATATTTAGACATTAAATTATGTGCAGTACGATGAACCATGATACGCAATATTATAAAACACTTTATAATAGTGGATCATATCTTTGAACATAAATAAAACTTAATTCCTCGGTAATTATTACTTGTAAAAAAAACATTTAATTATTTTTTTTATTTATTAAATAAGCAATTTTTCTTGTTATTGAAATAATTACTCTTGTTGATACTAACTTATTAATAGCTTCTATATGCGAGAACACAATAGAACATTATCGCCTCATTTTATCTTAATTACATTTCCAAAATATGACCAATATTATTCAATTAGATTATTTTTATATATAAATTAATAAAACATCTGCTCTAACACTCGGAGACCAAACTTTTAGTTTTAACCATTAATTAAATTGAATGGAGATTTTTTTCAAGATTATAAATATCAATATTTTTATAAAATAATTAACATTTCTGCCATTCTTGTGGGAAATCCCAAATAGTTTAGATAAAGGCGAGGAAGAAAAATGTGCTTGCTAAACTAAGCATGTTTCGTAAAACGAGATAAATATTATTCAAAACATGAAAACATGTAATAAATCTTATTAAAATTTGGTTGAATAATTGTTTCAGGTCCATGTGGAGGTAAAACTACTGGTCAATCGAGATTAAGTACCTTTTTTGAAAATTTAGGATGGAAGGTAAAATTTAGTCATTTATATAATATGTACTTTAAAAAAATTAGTTATATTTCGTCTTTTATCTATTTAGGTATACAGAGTTCCAGAAACTGCCAATGTCCTTTTAAGGTAGACTTTATTTTATTAGTTTAAATTTTTACTTTTGTATAATGTGTATGATTCAATGGCGGCCTTTAAAGTTAAAAATATATAAGAGAGACATAATTGTTTCACTATCTAAAAAATTTTTTGGAGAGTTAAATAAAATAATTTGATAGCATAATATGTATTGAAAAATCAACGATTTTTAGTATATATATTTATATGTAATAGTGTTTTAGTTAATGTCAAACTTCTTATATTTACAATTTTTACTCATAGAGCTTATTTATGTTCATATTTTTTCAGTGGTGGAATCAAATTTTCGGAGCTTAGTGATTATGAAGGTAATTTTAATAATGATTGTATTTATTTTTCAAAAATTTTTCCTTATTAATTGTTTAAATTTATATAATGGTTATATTTTAACATAAAACTCAAGTTGTTTTTCACTTTAAACTAAATATATTTTATGAAACTATTTAATATAGAATGTAATCTGTACTTTAATACATAATCTAATGAAAATTGAACATTTATACTTAAGTTTTGTTATAAGTTATAATTTATAAATGCATGATAATCATATTCTTTTGATATCATATGAAGCCAGATATTAGGAACTTAAAACAATTACTATTTGAGGTTATAACATGTTTTATTTTAGGTTTTATTGTTTTAAAATCTATTTATTTGTTGATATTAAAGTTTTTTTTGTTAATGGCAAATTAAAAAGAAATTATCATTTACCTTGAAATTTAGCTATTATAAATAGTTAATTTAAGTAATATCAATATCTTGTGAAAAATCATATTTTATCTTATTTGTGTGTCAATATGAAATCGTTCTTTTCTTTATAAATTTATTTAAAATAAAAACAGTGCTCCTCTAATTCATAAATGTCCTAAAAGTATGTTAATTAGTTTTTTTTTCAAATTTAAAAACACTTTCTGGTCTGGTCTATAAGTCATTCATTTTATTTTTATTCTTTTAAAAAACATTTAAAAATAAAATTAAACAACTCTTCTAAAAAGTATAAGCAAAATGTATTTATAAAAATATTGAACAAATTAGTAGTTAGATGGATTTAAAATTAAATTTAAGTTATAAAATAAAGTTTTATAAAAAATATTTAACAATAAATTAATGAATTTTATTTATTTAAATAAAATAATGAATAAATCATCTAATTAAACCTTAAGTATATTAATATAAAATAGTTCTGGCTAAAAGCCATCAATAGATTACTGTATGAAATATGATATAAGCTCATATGAAAGAAACTATAAATTTAAAAAAAAAAAAAACACTACAAAAAATACTTATAAAATCACAACTAAAAATTTTTTGGTAAATATAAAATTAGGCTAAAATAACAATTTAATAAAAGTAAAATAAAAATTTTTATAATTTTAGTGAAAACATTTATTTTACTCGTACTATTCAATAATTCTATTTTATTCCAGCTACAAAATTTCAAGAAAACTTGCTGAGATCTATGTTACATATAGAAAATACATTTTTTGAACTTGGTGAAACATGTGAACAAGATTGTTTAATTATTTGTGATAGAGGAGCTATGGATGCAGCAGCATGTGAGTAATTTACAATTTTTTTTTTAATCTTTTATTCATTGTTATGAAAATGTTCGACACTATATATATATATATATTTTAAATTAATAATTTTATTAAAAAAAAATAATTCAAAGCAGAATTATTATTTAAAAATTACTTTAATTTAATATTAAACTAATGTTTGATAAATTTATTATTTAAAATACGACTTATTACTTCTTTGTATGATTGATCAAAGTTATGTGTAATTTTTAAACTGTATGGTATTATTGAGTAAACAGAACTTGAAATTCATTTTTTAGATATAGCCAGCAGTAAGTGGGACCAAATTTTGAAAGACAACAATTTAAACATGGTTGATTTACGGGACAATCGTTATAATCAAATAATACATATGGTTTCTGCTGCGTGTGGTGCTGAAGATTTTTATACAACTGAAGTAAAAAACATAATTTTACTTTTAAATTCACATTAAAAGTTTATGTATTCAAGGATCATTCATGCAGAAGAGAAGATGTATCATTGGCAAGAAGTTTAGATACTAAAGCTTCAGCAGCATGGATAGGTCATCCTTACTATGATGTCATTGATAATTCATCTGATTTTGAAAATAAAATATGTAGAATGATTGCAGTAAGTATAAGCTCATTAGTGTACCAATCTATCATATTTAAAAAGTATTTTTATAGGCAGTATGTCAGAAATTAGGCGTTGACACAGGTGATCGTTTAGCAACTAACTCAAAAAAACGAAAATGGTTAGTAAAATATTTACCTAGAGATCAATTGTTTCCTCCATTTCAAGATTTTGATGTTGTTCATAATTATTTACAAACATATACAAAAAACATGCAAGCTCGTTTGCGAAAGAGAGGTCAAAAGGGTATAATAATAAATAAATAATAAAGTATAATCCATGTGTGTTATTAGTATTTTTTTAAGGTCATTGGAATTATACTCATACTATTCGTAGACCTAGAGTTAGAGGCCAAGTGATTGAAGTGAAAACCCAACTAAGTCACAGAGATTATGTAAATTTACTATCACAGAAAGATGAAACACACTATCCAATTTACAAAAAAAGACGTTGTTTTATTCATAATAATCAGTATTTCCAATTAGATATATATTGTAAGCCATGTCATCCCAGGTATAAAAAATAGATAATGTTATATTTATTTATTTTTCTAGTACATTCAATATATTTTTTAGGTGTGAAGGATTAGTATTGTTGGAAACCTATTCTGCTCTTGACGATCAAGAACTTCTTGATCGCTTACCTAAGTTCCTAGATATTGAGGCAGAGGTGACAGGAGATGCAGCATATTCTATGTTCAATTTATCACTTGTTGAAGAATGGGACAAAACTAAACATTTCTGTCACTATTTAAAAGGTTCTTAATTGTAAATTTACGTTTTATTTTAAAATTTTATTTTTGTAAATTGTTTGTATTAGGACCTGATGAAGATCTGAATATTGAACATAAAACAAATCAAGTTAGTTATAATCATACTAACGGAAAGATCAGGAAATAGTATCATTCTGAATTATAAAATTCAATATAGTATAACATTTCAGAATATAAATATTGAGAAATGTTAAATAATATGCTTTTAATATTCATGCTGTGTTATACAATATAACTGTTATTCAATTATGCTTTATTTGCCATATAGTATAAAATATTATTTTCTAAAAAATTATTGTTAGTCTATATAATTTTATTTATGTATTCTAAAATACTCAATATTTTGATGAATATTATTGTTCTTTTACTCTGCCACTGTTAGTTATTTATATTTCAATGAATAAAAATTATCACATATAAGAAGATTATTTAAATCTTTTTATACAACATTGATATACTAATTTACTAGTTTAATAAAATAATAATTAAAATTTTTAATAATTTCAATATTTAATTTTTCTTTCCATTATAGTGTTTCTTTTAAAGTTTTATGGAACAATACCTAAGTCAAATAGCTTTTTTAAGCCAGTATTCTCTAATATAAATATTATTATTTATATTTACTATCTTCCTATTTATTAATACCTAAAGATATATCATGAATTTAAAGTAAATAAGTAAAATTAATCAAATGCATGGACATGGTTCTATAGTTGTGATAAGTTAATAATTATTCAAAGAAAATTAACTTGTATTCATTTTATTCAATAAAATAAACATTTTTTTTTATATTTTCCAATATTTTTTTGATGGTAAACTAGCAATACAAGCCTAATAATATTTTAGCATACAACTCAAATTTGAATTTTTTAGTTACTATCTTACTTATTAAATACAGATATCTAATCATTATTTAAAACTAAGTAACTAATTATTTTCAAATACAAAATGTCAGGCTAGTATTACTGCTGTTAAACTCTAATTCATTTGTATAACATTCTTTATTTAAAAAAAGTGATTTTATTTTTTTTACATATTTATGATTAAAATAACTACATCAAGTCATGATACATAAGTGTATTATTTTTAAATATCATGCAACATACTTAAATATAATGATATAATTAAGAGAAAAAGTAATCTTTTATAATTTTCTAATAAAATTTACTTGACAACATAAGAACAAAAATTAGGATATCATGTAAATATGATAATATATTAGACAAACGTTATTCATTTATACATTGTATTTTTTCATTACTTTTAATGTAATGTAACAACTTTAAAATAGTACTTGGTTTAATTCCTGGTATTCGGCTTGCAGCTCCTAACTATAAAAAAAAAATTGTATTCATTAAATATATGATTTGTTTATGTTTGAATCTTTAAATTTAATATTTTTAAAACTTACAGATTGAGGTTTAATGTAAGAAAGTTTCTCAATTTCTTCCGTTGACAAACTCAATGTTTTCCTATTAACAGTATCTCGATAATTTATTTAAATAGGAAAAACCAGTATAAATAAAGTAATTATTTGCATAAATAGATTAAAGTTTATTGATTATACATGATAAAATAGCTTTTCAAACTAAAAAACCAAGATAAGTGTAGTCAGTTAGACATTTCTAAAATGGAAATTTAAAATAAATGTATTAAATTGTTATCATGATAATTTAAAAATAGTTTATTGATCATTTTTAACACCAGTTATAATTAAAATGCAGATTTATTTGTATCTAAAAAGTTAAATTTATATGTTTTATCATAAAAAAATCCTTTAAATATGAATGTAAATTAATAAAAATTTTCACTAATAATGCTTCATGGTTTTATATATAAAAAAGTTACTCAAAATAGATTCCACTCTCAAAATTTGGGCTATTTATTATAATTTAGTACCTTTACAATAAGATATTTTACAGTCTTTTATATTTTATTCTAGCTTCACTATGATACTTTTATATTTATTGGTATTTAATAGAATATAAATTTTAAATAAGAAACTCATCATGATTTTCTTTGTGTTGCTTTTTTATTATGTAATTTTTTTATTACAGGTGATTCAATATTTTTTAAATACTCATTTTAAGAAGCAATTAAAATATAAAAATTAACTTACTCTGAAAAATTTAGATCTGACGGAATAATTAATGATTGATCAAGTTCCATCCGGGCTATATCATCTTGCTGTTCACTTACTAACAAATGATACATTGCTTCAATTTTTAAACGTGTTTCTAAATTAGCATCATTTATTTTTTTAATAAACTGAGCAGGAAGAATTGGTTTAAGCAGATTTAATGTAATACCTTCATTAGCTAAACCTAAAATTTCAAGTGCTCTAGAAAAATGTAATAATAATAGAAATAATTAAAAATGAAATCTAACTAAGAAAATTTGATTAATATCACTCGTTAATTTTAAAATAAATAAAATTTTATTTAAAAGGTCAATTTCTCATAGGAAACAAATCACAGAAACGTTTTTATTTTTTTAATTACATATTATGTTATATGGAAATATGCTTTAACTTGAAATAATTAAAAATGATGCAAGTTTTCTCTTACTATGAATAAAATAAAATTTTTTTTTTACAAAAATTGTTTGATTTTAGGCTGTAATTCCCAATTATTTCTAGAAATTGAGTTTTTTCTTTTTCATTTTAAAGAACATTTTAGTAACTTTAATTTAATGTATATTTAAAGAAAACAGGATTTTTGAAATATTATCATAAATTAAAATGGATTTATTTAGGATATAGTAATATTGTCTACTAATACAAAAAAAACACGTCAGACTAAAACTAATAGCTTCTCAGATACACATGGACACTAAAATAGTCAAAAAAAATTACATACGTTTTAGATTCAGGATTTTTAGAAGTCTTTCTTCCTAATAATTTATTCCATTTATACATAGTCATGGAGATGGAGTTTAAAATATTTTTACCATCAGACAATTCTGAAAATATTTTTTTAGTTTTATTAAAACGTGCTTGACTTACACAACCAACTGTAAACCCTATAAAAATAAAATAATTGATTAATGCATTAATGACATAAATACAACAATGTAGCAGTTTCAATTATTTTTAAAATTATTTTGTTAAGGATTTTATATTGAAAAAATTATGGTAATTTTTAAGTAACAATGAGATAATATTAACAAATAACATTATTTTAAATTGTACATGTTAATAAGTTTCTAAACAAAATTAATAAAATATATTGCATTCTTCAGAATTTTTAAAAATGGATCTGTCACATTATTATACTGGCTTATAAGCCATTATAATTTCAATAATTGATGTCAGTATAGTTGTAATTATTACAAAAATTTGGTGATACCCTTTTCAGTAAGTCTTATGTCTGCATTATCCGGTCTTAAGAAAAGACGAAATTCTGCTCGACCTGTAAACATACGGTATGGTTCATCTGTTCCTCTTGTTGTTAAATCATCTACAAGAACCCCAATGTAAGCTTCTGTCCTACTCAAGGTTAAAGGTTTTTTGTTCATTGCCTGTAATAGATAAGAGATATCTTTTTATTTTAACTGTTAATATTAGGTGGTAAGCACGAGGATAAGTAACAAACATATAAAAGGGAGTATAGAAGTAGTGTCAATTGCAAATAAGATAAAAGAAAATAGACTTAAAGGTTTGGTCATGTTATGATGACAGACAAAACAGAAGCTGTGAGAACAGTTATGAAAATTAATGTCAAAGAAAGAATAGATAGAAGAAGACCAAAAAAGAGAAAGAGAGATGTTATAGAATGCGATATGAGGACAGCTGATATGTATGTAGATGATGTGGGAGATCATATCACATGAAAATTTAGAATAAGGATGGCCGACCCCCAAGTAGTTATAATTAAGATGAGAAAAAAGAACAAGAAGAATATTAAGTGACAGGCATGTACTAGATCATTTTTTATTAGAAAAAAATTTCTTCTAATTTAACTGTAATAAACACCAATTTTTTTAATTTCAAGAGTTTAGAGCATAGACAAAAATAGTGTTATGAGCTGAGGGTACTAAAAGATATAAAACATATAAAATATGAAAAATAAATTTTCTCTCCTCTCTATATGATATATCCAATTTACCTTTTATTTATTTATAAATTATATAGATAGAATATTTTATTTTAAACATATTGCAATGTTTAAAGTAAAATACACATACTACTGGGATGATAATGCACAGAAACAATATTAAAAAACAAGATTTCCAAAGAATAATAATTATTTATATAATAATAAAAATAATTATTTTATTTTTCTTAGAAAATTTAAAAAGAATGATGAAATTTGCTTGAGTTGTATCTATGCTGTAGTGGCCCTACTGCCATTCTTACGGTATCCTAGCAGGCTAGTATGTGCCTGTTATGTAGTGTAACATACCTTACAAGCCGCATTAATTCCTGCTAAAACACCTTGTGCAGCTGCCTCTTCATATCCAGTTGTACCATTTATTTGCCCAGCAAAGAATAAACCAGGAATTCTTTTTGTTTCCAATGTAGGATATAATTCTCTAGGATCAACATAATCATATTCTACTCCATAGCCTTCAAATTAAAATAAAATAAATTTTAAAACAAAATTTAACTAGTTTATACTATACCAAATTGAATAATATTAGCATTTTCTAATCCATCTATACTTCTTATAATTTTTATTTGAAGTTCTTCTGGTAAAGTACATGATAATCCATTTGGATAAACAACATTACTATTAAAACCTTCTATTTCAAGCCAGATTTGGTGATTTCTATCATAATATCTAAAATTTTGTTTAGTATTATATAAAAAACTACAGATCATAAAATTTTAATGCTTGTTTGGATTTTAAATAAAATGAGTTACAAAAAGGAGAGAATATTTTTGTTATAATCAATTCTAAGACCATTTTCCAAAAGTTTTTATGTCAATTTTAGAAACTTTTCAGATAACACAAAAATAAATTTAAAATTTCATTGGAGTCTTTTATACAAAAAAAATCTTTTCGAAAAAATTGAAACAAATTTTTTTTTCTTTTTTACAATAGAAAACATTTTTATCTGTATAAGTTATAAAAATCCTCAAAACCTATATTATGACATTAACTTTTGAATGCAAAACCATGATTTTATTATATTCATTGGTAACAATTCACAACAAGCACTGCAGGAAAGTGAGAAAAAACTTACTTCAGTGATTTGGATTCGAGTGATGGACAATATCGAGGACCTTTAACTTCTTCTTTTATATGTCTATTTACACTTAGATTATCTAACACAATTTGATGAACTTTACTATTGGTATAAGTTATATATGTTTTAATTTGTTTTTGAGGCTAAAAATTAGATTAAGCTAATGAAAATTACATCAAAATTTTAGTAAACTTTTTTTTTACATCAATCCAAACTGAATCATTTAAAAATGAAAATGGTGTAGGAACATTATCACCTGCTTGAAAGGATAAATTAGAGAAATTTATAGATTCTCTTTCAATACGAGGAGGAGTGCCTGTTTTCATTCTACCAGTTTTGAATTTAAATTTTTTCAATGTATTAGCAAGTTTTATTGAAGGTTTTGAATTAATTCTACCACCTGGTTTCACAACAATACCACTATACATTTCTCCATTTAAAAATGTTCCAGTTGTTAAAACAACACATTTAGTTTTCAATTGCATTTCATTTTCTAAACAAAATATTAATAATGATAAATTATTATTTATTTAAGAAATGTATGATAATAGTTAGTACTACTATAAGGTGTGATGGCGCCCTAGGCCAAGTGTTATGTAACACTTTTTTAAAACTTATAAAACAACAGTTTTAACACCAAAAGTAATTAGCTGAACCATATATACTTAACTTGGCTTGAAAAATAATAATAATTGTTGTATTATTACCTAAAATTACACCACTACAATTATTATTTCCATCAAGTTCGATATTCTCCACAGAACTTTCAATTACAGTGAGATTTGGGGTATTATAAAATAGTTCCGCTTGCATATATTTTTTATAGAGCTCTCTGTCAATTTGAGCTCTTAAGCCCCATACAGCTGGCCCTTTTCTTCGATTGAGAACCTAACATTTTTCTTAATATTATAAATTAAATTGATCTTTTTATTAAATAAATATTTCACTTTATAATGTATGCCTGATAAATCACAAATTTTAGCACACAATCCATCAAGAGCATCTATTTCTCTCATCAAATGTCCTTTACCAATACCTCCAAATGATGGATTACAAGACATTTCACCTAAAAAAAATAAAATTGAGTTATTCTAAAATGGTTTGTAAGATTTAGATCAAGATGCAATATTAAATTGACTAATTAATTAAGGTAATAAAAAATAAAACATTGTATTTTGGGTAAATAAAAATTAATGAATGACCACAGTGTTAACAAAATAATAAAAATAAAAAGGGTTCTAAAAAGATTTCTTTATTTAGTTCTTTTTTTTTAATTATAAAGCTTAATACTTTCTACTAAGTCTCTGAATTTGATAAATTCTTATTGTAGACTTAAAAAACTAAATGAAAGTATATAACAATTTTAAAAATAGGAATAACTTAAGAATTTTCAAAGTGGTCCAAGCATAATTTATAAAAGTATACATTTTATTTAATAAAATAATTACCAACTGATGATTTTGCGTGAGTAACTAGTAATGTATTTGCACCCATTCTGGCTGCAGCTGAACAAGCTTCTACTCCAGCATGACCACCACCTACAACAATTACATCAAACTGTTTTGGACAAAGACAAAAGTGTTTTTCTCCTAAAAATACTGTTGTTCTTGACACATTTAGATTAAAGCTTTTAAATAATAAAAAAAACATTTTAACGATGACAAAAAGATGTTGATGAATTGATTATTTTTCAAGGATAAAAAATTATCATTTCATAAAATTTAACATAGTAAGATATTTTTCAGATTTCAGATAAATTTTAATGAAATAGTCTTAAAATTAATTTATAGAATATTGTAGTACTGCCGGCACAATTTGTGATAACAAATAATGCGATAATGGCACACTGGTGATAAGCTCGTAGATAACATTGTCACCATTGACCAAATAGCTGACCCATCAGTATTTTTTATCAGGAAAGTTTTTAATAAGTTTAAAAAATTTTAAATAAAAAAATAATTGTATTTGCATAATTATTTTTATATAATTAATTGAGGAAATTAATTTTTTAAGTATTTATTAAATCTTTAATTATTGTTACTAAAAATAAAAAATATTATCACTCGATTACCACTACATGATAGCAAAGATAGGTTAATGGACGAAAAATAAGTAACATATAATAATAATAATAGGATGTTTGAAATAAAAAAAAAAATTTTTAGTCAGCATAAATTAATATAATATAACAATTATAATTCATAGGGAATGGTAAGCTCCTCAAAAATAAAATTAGATCTCTCAATTAGGTAATTCCTAATTATTTTTCATTCTCTTATAACTAAAGCTAATTATCATTTGATTTATCAGTTAACCGTCTAAAAGTAGTATTAATTTGATAAAATATGGTTTTTGAAACATTGTTTAAAACGATTACAGGCATTTTTTTTTATATAAAAAAATGTTTGCTTACTAATGTATTTGGAAAATTCATTGATAAATCTAGTATAAAAAATTAGGGTATTTGGACAAAAAGACTTAACATGGGACGAAATCCACAAAAAGATAATAAATCCTTGTAAAACAATACGTCTGATTACACTTTACAAGAATAAAAACATTTCTAAAATTTAAAACAATGTAAAATAAAGAATTCCTATTCAAATTCCATTTGTTGTTTATTTAACGATTAAGTTATCCTTCTTCGAAAACGACTCAACAATTATTACATATAGTGTTTTAAACTTGGCAAAAAATGGTTTATGGATGTAATATGCAAGGTAATAGTGCTAGGAAATGAGTGTTTNTCTAAAATTTAAAACAATGTAAAATAAAGAATTCCTATTCAAATTCCATTTGAGGTTTATTTAACGATTAAGTTATCCTTCTTCGAAAACGACTCAACAATCATTACATATAGTGTTTTAAACTTGGCAAAAAATGGTTTATGGATGTAATATGCAAGGTAATAGTGCTAGGAAATGAGTGTTTGCAGGTAAATCAAAAAGCGGAATAACCTCCATTTGCTTTTTACGCTATGGTATACCTAATCTTTTTTTGGTAATTGTTAGGTATTGGAACATTCAGATTTCACGTGATTTATAACTTAAAGAACAATTTTCTCAGATAAGTGTACTAGAAAATACTAGAGGAGTACACTAAAAATTTTATCATAAGGATAATAAAGAAAAAAATGTCTTCTAAAAATTAATTTAATTTTGTTTTGTTTTAGTAACACATTATGATATTTTAAATACTTTTTTACATTCGGTTAGAATTTTAGTTAAATTTTCTAAGGTATGGTTGATGGGTCGACTCTCATCTTTGATGTTTGATGAAATGCCAATTTTAAAAGTGTGTGACCATTTAATTTGTCTTCATAGCCATAGTCTACAATAAATTGATTAAACTTTTTCATGTACAGTCAACTATACATGGATGAGTGTGGAAACATATTGAATCTAAGTTGAATGACCTGACGGTGAGTTTTCAGTCTGTTGAAAATTTGGCACCTCGAGTTACGATAAAATGCATAACACTTCTACATTAATAGTTTCTCTTTTTGATACACTGTGGTTGTATACCTAGAATGAAAAGGACGGGAATTAAATAAAATGGTGTGTTCACGTTATTGTAAGTATGAATTAACAAAAAATTCTCCGACCTGAGGATAGACTAATCGAATTGCAATAGCGGAATCAGACCAACCGCGCGATTTTTTTTATATTCTTTTGTGCTGCACTAGTCAGCTACCACAGTAGCCTGGAGGCCGTTCCAAGTAGACGCATAGTAATCATAATAATGATACTTTTAATAACTATCGCAACCGATTCAGTGGCGGTTGATAACTATTTTACATATATTTGATGTATTGTTATTGTGATGTTATACAATAATAAGGTGTTTCCATTGCGTGTAAAAAGAGTACGCTCACTCAGATTTCACGTTATAAAAACGGCAAGAAGGAAAGAGGAGATAGAAACATTCGGTGGAATGGAATTGATGATGATGAAAACAAAAGGATCCAAGAGGAATGAGAAAGACGTTCTATTGACAGTTAGTCTCGTTGCGAGGCTTACAGACAAGATTGGCGGGATTTGTTATCGAACGATTCCTGGAACTCAGTCGCCTATGAATAGCGCTTACGGCGACAACGGGTTCGTTATTATATCATTCGAGTGACGTATTCCCGTTCATGATCCTCCATACCATACCATCAATGGTGAATTTATGAGAGAGAGGGGGTCTGGACCTCTTCCAGGCATTGTTGTCTTTTACATTAAATAATACGTGGGAAATTTCATAAATATTTCCAAGAAAATTTGTTTTTTTTCGGACCTACTCCCAGAAAAATAATGAAAATCCCCCACTGATCACTGGTTATTAAATTTATTATTTTTTACCCTCCATGAAATTATTAGCGGTGTTACGATAACCTTTTTTTTATGCTATTCAAGTTTTTTTAAATGACATTACAGAGTAGAAAACTTTTGTTGGCCAAAAAGAAGTAATCACTCCGTCCTCTTAACGAAAATTATTTTCTGGTTTCGCCACTGCGCTGAGGTATATTAATTACGAAGTATATTTTTAATATCACTAAAAATTTAGTTTCTAAAATATTTGTAAAAATCAAGTCGCACCATTAAAAAATAATTCCAATCTAGAAGTGGTGGGTTGTATTGATCACCCAATGAATAGTATGGCGTCCGCAGTAACTTATTTGCAATTTGTTGCATCATTTCAGCCGTCTAGGTGGCCAGTTGTAGAGATGGCCGATTTGAACGTGGCTGCTCCCTACGAACCCGCTGGGTGTTCACACGTTGGCTTATCTTAGTCATTCTATAACAAAAAAATATTAATAAGCTTCTGAAGTAATTTTATGTTCGCAACGTAATGAATAATTTAATGAACTCTTGCTTTAGACACGAACATAAGTGTAAATTTTATGTATTTTTATACAAGAAAAATTTAAGTTTTAATACTTATAAAAAATAAAACCTCAATCTAAATATCAATATAGCATTTCAGTATAACTGACTTATAACATAAATATAATGTTCATATTTATATTCATATTAGTATTTGGATTGTCATTTGATATTCTACAGAGTTGGAGGTTTTACGTTACATTACGTTATAACGTTGCACTACAATCCTTGATTAATTAAGATTAACTCCTATTTACTAAAAATTAAACCAACTCACCGAAAGATTCTCTTCCCATTTCAAAAATATTAATTATTTAACCGAAAACCGGAAGTTTGGATGATTTTACCGGAATTTTGGTAAACAATTATTTTGCGAATTTCTTTCGGTAAAATTTATCTTTTATATTCATTTCATATAAATTTCTCCCATTAAATTGTGCTGTTTTCCTGTGAGCTTTGCGCCGATTTACGCTCTGTAAGTGTTCGTGTAAAAAAGTTTTTTGTGAATATTTACTACAAATAGTTTTGTTAATTTTTAATTTAATATAGAAGTTTTAACTTTTCCTGCAAAGAAAATTAAGTTACTTACAGAGACAAGACTTTTCAGTAATTTATTTTTGAGGGGAGGGGGTGAGACTTATTTTATTGGAATAAGATGAATTTTAATCGAAAGAAAAATAATGTACATAACAGTAGTTCTTTAAAATTGTTTATATTTTATCAATGAATTTTGAATTTGTCCTGATAATAGGTAAGGTAGAAGAGGAAGAGAAAATAAAATTGTTCGTAGATTTATACTATGATGTTAGATTTATATCTCAAAATGGAATGTTTTCTTTGTTTATATTCTTTTAATATTAAATAAATTTATGTAAAAATTTATTCAAATCTTATTACTAAGTTCTCTTCTTTTTTTAAAGATAGAAATATCTTGACTCTATATAAGACAGTTAGATTAAAGCGAAGTAAAAGCTTTTGAACACTATAATAATCCATAAAAAATTATTTTTAAAGACTTTCAAATTCCTCGCCGTTCTTTCTATTTATTCAAATTAGCTATACTTATTTTTGAAACTTATTTTTTTTACTTATTTTTTAATCTTCATATCTGATATATTCAATGAGTACACATAAGAGAATCATACTATTATGTTGACTTCTAATAATAAAATTTATAAAACAATAAAGTGCGGTGATTACGTGATTGAGTGTGTAATTTTAATACAAACTTTGTTATATCTATATACGTGTATAAAAATGTATTACATACAGTGTGGCCCACCACTCACTGACAACTTAAATAACTTTTGATCCAGTTAATATTTTTAGCTGATTTTTTTTTTAAACATTAGTTAGACGTTAGGTCTATAGCTATATCTCAATAATTAATTTTTTTACATTTTATTAAAAATATTAATTATTTTTAAATTTTAAATAAAATGTAAAAAAAAAATCTAAGATAGCTATTTTGTAGAGTAGAATTTAAGAAAAATTTTAGTAAAAAAATATCTTATTAATATTCAGTAGTAAATATTCTGTAGCGTTTTGAAGTTTGTGAAAATTTGAATTTTCATGTACTATTTTACGGTATTAAACATTGAAATACGTATTGAGAAAAGGACAGAAGAAAACGCTATCTTTTCAATATACTTTTGAATGAGAGTGATAAGTAATAATTGCCTTATCTAATTTCTTATCATGGTATTTATGCCAAGTTTGTAATGTATACACACTATCATCATATGTATACACAGTAATCATGAAAAGATAGCGTTTTCTTCTGTCCTTTTCTCAATACGTATTTCAATGTTTAATACCGTAAAATAGTACATGAAAATTCAAATTTTCACAAACTTCAAAACGCTACAGAATATTTACTACTGAATATTAATAAGATATTTTTTTACTAAAATTTTTCTTAAATTCTACTCTACAAAATAGCTATCTTAGATTTTTTTTTTACATTTTATTTAAAATTTAAAAATAATTAATATTTTTAATAAAATGTAAAAAAATTAATTATTGAGATATAGCTATAGACCTAACGTCTAACTAATGTTTTAAAAAAAAATCAGCTAAAAATATTAACTGGATCAAAAGTTATTTAAGTTGTCAGTGAGTGGTGGGCCACCCTGTATACTCCAAAATATATTGGTGAAATAATTAATATTGAATAATTTTTTTTGTTGGAGTCTACAAGTAATTCTTTGTTCTAATTCATGACTACGAAATAAAATGCTATCTATCCAACAAAGAAGGATAGCTAAAGTTACCATTATTTTTCTTTTCAATCAAAAAAATTGCAGTTAAATCTTCATCCTATAAACCTGCATCAAATAAATGCTTAATAAATCTAATTTAAGATTAAAAAAGATGTATTTATTGACTTATTTCTATGTAAATACGTTTAACAATGGAAAAATATAACATAATTTCTTTAATAATTAATGGTATATCAATTTTTGAAATAGTTATGCAAAATCTGCATTTTTTTAATTTGTATAAAATTAAAGTTTATTTATTAAAGATATGTTAATTAACAATAATTACTTTTATTTAAACAAATTTTATCTTGATTTTTCCGTTGCCTTACCTACTTTAACAATAGTTCGATGGTTCAAAAAGTATATTATGATAATAAGAATTTTTTGAAATAAGTGACATATATTGTTTTTCCCATGTAGTCTTCATATTTTTCATACAGTTTAAATATAATTGCCATAAATACAATTTGCTATTGAGTGTCTATAGTAATTTTTCCTTTGTGAAAAATATGTAAGTAACAAAACATAATTAAAAAATAAAATTGGGAAATTTTGAAGGCAGTTAAAGGGTATCCCAAAAATCTTCCATTTGAATACAAAAGAACTAATTGTACCAATGGCAATTGCTTTTCACAACCATAAATGAGATACAATTGAAATCACAGATTTAAAGTTGTGATGTAAATTTTGGAAATTCAAAGTTTATTAATTGTGTTTTATATTAATAATATTAATTAAAAACCATTATATAATATTAGATACTAGTGATCAATTATTTTTAGATTATTAATTTTATTTTATTTATTGTCCAATTTTCATCCCCGAGTAGGCACGGATTAAATTGTCTATCAGTCTTAAAAATTTTTCTAATTCATTTGTACATTTATATAAACAATTTTGAGGGGCGAGGCCAAAAATTTTCAAATTAAAATAATTAAGACCACCTTAATATTTACGCCTAAAATAAAAATAATTCAAACATTAAACAGCCCTTAAAAATTTCCTATGAACTTTAAAGGCATAAAAATTAAATTATTTTACTAATATAAATCTTTATTTTCACCATGATAATTCAAAAATAATAATAATGTAGTCATATTTTGTAAATTAATTGGAGGGTATTTGATATTTCTAAAATTAATTTATTTAGTGTTTTCTGTTTGATTTCAAATAAAATGATAAAATTAACCAAGTACAGACTCGTTTTCTTGTCAAATAATCATTATTACAATATTTTTTGTTTTTTGATATTGATTATCATGTATATTATTTTTGTAAATTGTTTTTTTTGGCGTTTGATATTAAATAAAGTAAAAAAAAATATTAGCAACGCTTATCAATTATTATATAAATTATTTTAATTAATATGTTATTGGATATTTTGCCCATTTGAATTCATAAAAAATAAATAAATCGTAACACTTTTTATGGATATTGTTAAATTCGTCATCAGTCAAAAATAGTCAACCTATATCTTCTTCTACCTCTTCTTCATTTTTCATTTCTATAACTGTTCTTACAGCTTCCGATTCTTCTCTCCTCATAACATGACCAAACCATCTAAGTCTATTTTCTCTCATCTTATCCACGATTGACGCTACACCTACTATACTTCTTCTTATACGCTCGTTCCTTATCCCATCTTTTCTAGTCACTCCACTCATCCATCTAAGCAATTTCATCTCTGCTACACTCATTCTCTGCTCTATTTTCTTATCAACCGCCCAACACTTTGAACCATACGTCATAGTTGGCCTTATTACAGTCTTGTATAATTTACCTTTCAGCCTCATTGGAATTTTTTTATCGCATAAGACGCCAGACGCTTCTCTCCACTTCAACCACCCGCACTTAAATCTATGTCTTGTATCCTTATCAATACTACCACTCTTTAGCACAACTTAGTCAACCTATATTTATGGGTTATAAATTTAATATTTGATAGTAAAATTTTTAGTCAGTTAAAGTATTATTCCTACTACTGTTATACTATTGTACAACGTAATGAGACATCCATCCTTGTTTAGTATAGCCAAATACCAAAAATTAAATTTAACACATAAATTAGTTTAAATAAAAGTGTACTCTGATAGATTGTGACTTAGAATAGAAAGTGTAACTTGAAAATTAATACACAACATTTGTGTATTCAAAATAATATAAGATATTTGTGTATAGCATATACACAATGTATTTAGGTAATTTATTCTAATAACGTTTAAATTTTAAATGGTAATAGCAGTCACCTGGGTAAAATTTTTAATAGATATAAGACAATAAATCCCCAAACGTTGATATTTTATTTCATACAGATTAAATTTTATATTTATAAATATTCTGTTAACCGATATCAAATTTATTTCACTTGAACTTTCATAAAAAAATCTGTATCATTTGTAAACTAATGTAATAAATGAACAAACAAATACAAAAGTTTTTTCTTCAAAAAATCTTTAAAATATATATACATATTTTGATAATTCTCTGTAATAAACTCTTAACATTGTATTCCTTGACCAATAATAAAATAAAAATAAATAATTATTGTTTATACTAAATTTATTTATAATTGGCTTATACATTTTTTTAATGAATTTTTACAATTAAGTTTCCTTGACAATTAGATGTAAATGTTGATTTTATCGACTTTTTAGTTCACTCCGTTTTTTCCCGTGAAGAATAAACTATCGTCTTGTGTAATTATTAAGATTTATTTAATTAGTTCTTGATATGGCAAGCGAAAAAAATATTTTTGGTCAAACAAATGAATCAAACTTACATAAGGTCATACGCAGAGTTGAAGAAATATGGAATCGTCGTTTCATGTATTCCAATAATGTTTTAAATAATACTAATAAAGGACAAATATCAAAAAATTCATCTAAAGATGGAAGAATTATCCGTAAACACTATTAAGATTAATAATTAAACTAACTATTTCGAATAGAGAAAAAGTTTTTTTATATAAAATATAAGAACAATTAATAATAAGTTCTCTTATTCATATATAACAATAATTCAGTCGCTTTACTTTAATTTAACTATTTTAATATTAAAAAACTTTTTCGAAATTGATTATTTAATTAATAATTATTAAAATGATATTCAATTTGCAGCAATTATTAATAAAAATATTTATCCTATAACAAATTCCATTATTCCAAAAAAACGCACGTATCGAAAAACGAATAAAAATGATAAAATTATTCCAGAAAAATTGGTAACTATAATTATATATTAATATATTTATTCGATTTAGCTATGTTATTGGAGTTTGTCTGATTCAAAAATATAAAATAAACTATTAACCTCCTTAATATAAATGCGATAACATAATGTTTAATATTATTCTGCTATTTTTTCAATAAGATTTTTATGGGAAATTCAATTTTTATCGAAGATAATAATATAATATTAAATATAGTTTATTTGTTTATTTAAATATCTCTTTGGTTGCCTAGAAATAATTAAATATATTTTTATGATCCGTTTAGAGTTTTCATAAGAAAATTTTGGAACGCAAAAATTCCGAAATAAAAAAACAACTCTTTGAGATATCTTCTAATACTTCTGCTCGACCAAATTTAAAAAGACATTCACCCGAAGAAGATGAAAAAGTCATAAAAAGTATACAACTTTTAAAATATAATTCATTTTTAAAAAATAATATAATAAACGTTTTGATTTTTGAAACAAATATGTAATATTTTAAAACATAAATTATTTTAGAGCCAAAAGTTAGTTCTAATCCTTTGACCTTAAATACGCCGAATGACGTAAATTTACTTGCTCTGTCCACTGTTGAAGTAATAAAAGTACCAGAGAAAGAAAAAGGTAAATAAACCTAACTAATTGTAAACTGTTCAACAAAGTTTTTTATTAATTTTATGAAAAATGTTTAAATATGGTTACACTTGCAGAAGTAATGCAAGATCAGAACACAAAATCTCTTGATCAGTATAATGCACCTTCATTTAAATCGCCCACATCATGGTATACTTCAGACACAATTAATGAGTACATTAAAATGATAGTAAAACGGTCAGAAGGTGAAGTTTATGCAGTTGTCACTGATTTTATTATAGCGTATCTTCGAGGAGGTTATCCAGCTGTAAGAAGATGGATAAAAAAAGATATTCACACAATAAAATTACTTTTTGTGCCCATGAATGTATATGGGAGTCATTGGATATTGACAGTGGTTAATATACCTGAAAAGACTGTGACATCATATGATAGTCTTAAGTCGTATAAGGGTCCTTATCCAATGGTATTAAAAAATTTCTTAATTGAATGGGAGATGGACAAAAAAGGAAAAGCTTCTACATGGACATTACAAATAGGCGAGACATCTCGCCAAACCAATGGACATGATTGTGGGCCATTTACTGTTGAGCTGGCAGAAAAAATGTCTCGAGGAGATACAACACCAATAAATGCAAATTTTATGCATTTTATAAGATTAAGACACAAAAATGAAATTATTGCTGGAGAGCTATTCAATTAATATTTTTATGAATGAAATTTTATTTTTGTATTTTATATCAATTTTCTTAATATTCACTATAAATTGAAATTTTTATTTGTATACCACTAAACATTTTTTTTACTTTTTCTATGTTTAATTGTTGTTTTGTTATTTTGTTTTAATCTTATTTTTCTTTGTAACATTATTTCATTAAAGAAATTCAAATTTAATATAAATTTATCTTAACTGAAATAATTTAATGTTCTTGTTATGTGAATATACAAATATTATAATATACAGTTATGGATACAATTAAGTTAAAAAGTCAGCCAANTCAATATACAAATATTATAATATACAGTTATGGATATAATTAAGTTAAAAAGTCAACCAATTATAAGTTTTTAAGTTAACAAGTGTATCTACTATCTCAACAACTTAATTTTAGTAAATGAAGATTCATAAGTAATTTCATAACTTATGTTTATATTAAAAATACTATTTTAATTATAAAAAATTCTTTTCTGCATTTTTTATGAATGCGGTTTATTGAATAGGGGTAACTTAACTTATTTGTTTATTTTTCTAGTCACTTAAAACTCTTTAGTCAAAAAATTAATAAAATGGGATTCTTTTTAATATAATCTTTGTTTCCACCTTTAATTTTTTAATATACAATTAAAAAAAAAGTGATACAATGTTTATTTTAGATAATTTAGGAATAAAATAATTAGTCGATTAAAAGTCGAACAATTTATTTCTATGTTTATATATCAATTGTATTTGACACAAATTTTATTTTGATAACAATTAATACTCTAGAATTAGTTGTTTCGATTTAATAAAATGACGATTAAAAATTTTAATGTCTTTATTTATCAAAAATATTCATTAAATATTGAAATTTATTATAAAATGATAAAAAGTTCTTTTCTTAGACTAGCTTTTGAAAATAAACGAATAGAATATTATTAAAACAAATTAATATTTTACATCCTCCAATTTGATTAGAGATAACAGACAATTATTTATAACAATAATTAAAATCATTATATTACAGAACACCAATTATTAATTAAAATTTAGTATTGTGGTTAAAAGATAATAATAATAATAATAATAGTAAATTTGTTCAGCTTGAAGTGTCAGATTTGTAGATTTTTTTTATCAGAAAAGATTGTCTCATGTAGATTAATATTAAACTGTAATTGAATTATTGTAAATTACAACATATATTTAGTATCAAATAAAATATAAAATGAAAATTTTAAACTGCCATACAAACATAACAATAATTTCTGCTAAAAATAGAACAAGAAAGAGAAATAACAATGTAATAAAAGTGGCGCTTGAATAATGTGTACCAAAAATTGACTAACCGTCATAATTAACAACATACATTTAATAAATTCCATCTATTTACAACACTAATGGACGATATATAATAAATAGAAAAATAAGACAATCTGGAAGTTCTATTAATATCAATAATTTAGGCTTTTGAGCGTCAAATTCAGACAATGGTTTTTAGAAGAAGGAAATATAATTTAAAAACAGCGACAAATTCATTATTAACAAATTAACATAACAAATTATTTCTAATTTTTTGTACAGAAATTTGAGAAAATGAATGAGAGAAAATGAGAGCCAGGTAATAAATGTGTCTAATTCAAATATTCGATAAGTTTATAGGAAAACTGGCATTGCGTTATTGATTGTGATTAAGCGCCGAGAACATTTTGTATATTAAGTCCCTTTCAGTTATTCAGACTTATCAAAGCAACGTTGCAAGTTTGCTTATTAACTTATTACAATACCGCGGGCAACGAGTGAACGAAACTAAGTGACTATTGGGTAAGATGGGAACTTACTATCTTACCATTTCGTTGCCGAATATTATTCACCATACTATACATTTATGCAAATCTTCATCCGATTATTTGAATTCATCGCTTTTTCTACCTGGTTCGATTGACTTTAGTATTCAATTTCTGAAATATCTGTTCATCGAGTTAAAAATAATCAATAAATTTGTCGCCAATATGTTGTATAGTTTTCAAATTATTGTATTAGTAGATTAGTTTGATTATTTTATTGTTATAAATTTCTGGACCAAACTTTCTCATCTGATTTGCTATAAAAATGTTAATAATTTCCAAAGTACTAGTTTAAAAGTTATTATCGACGAGTCATTTTTTCAATTAGATTATTATTTATTAATTAAACTTATATAATTACTATTATATAACTTATATAATCTTATATTAATTAATTATAATATTTTATACTCGTAAAGGGATAAAAGACGGATCTAAAAAGTATTTAACCTCTTATAAATCGAGAGATAAATATAATTACGGACTATAATGTGAGATAATTCTGTTTTATATCTTATATGTATCACTTTTTTTATAATTGACTAACCTTAGAATTAAAAAATAGAGGAGATTTCGAAATTGTTTTAATTATTGGATAAAACGTTAATGTATCCAATTGCCGAAACGTTATGACTACAAAATCAATCTAGACCTTCAATGATGAATTTAATATAATTAAGGGATTATTATACAGAACAATTAAGTAGTTTTTGTACAATTTTATATTGAAGCATGGAAAAACAATTCTATATTAGTTATTCTGAGAATCGTTGTATGAACTACCTACTTAAAAGTTTAGTTATTATGGTAGAGCAGATGCTTTATATTAACTAGAATAACAAATTGGTAAACAAAATGAATTTGATTTATAAATTTCCCGACAAGGTTTGTAAAATTAAAATTATAAATAACTAATTTTACAATAATGGCGAGACGAAATGATTAAATGCTTATTATTAATACAAAGCGTTATTTTCAACAATTTTATTGGTAATTCGTAATTTGGAGTGTTGAAAAATATCACAACATACTGTTTTTATAAACAATTTAATCTACATAATTTATGCAAATTTTGATTTTATATTTTTTACATACAATGTTTATTGAAATTACTTATTATAATTCTCTGTGTTTAGGTCTATTTAAAACAAATGTTTAATGGTCAATTGAATTGTTACCTTTCATAGATAACTTTTGCATGAATTTGTACAGGTAACAAAAACATAAAAGCAGGTAATATTTGAGTATTACCTTGTAGTATGAGTGTATGATCTTTGTAAAAAAAATGCAGTACATAATAACAAATGAAGAATAGCTTAAAAAAAATGTTGAGACAGATATTTTTAAAGAAAAAATAATCCTAACTGTGTTAATTTTATTCATTTGGGAATATACAAAGGTTCAAACAGTGAGGAACAGGTTAATTGTTACAAACAATGAGAACAATTGAAACCCGTATCCTTAATTACTGAAAACTAATACTTATGAAATCTAATAAAAAAAGGGCTTTAAGATCAATCCTATAACGAGTGGTTCAAAAGCTCTTTCTGTTTCAATTATTTTCACATTTGAGTAGAAAATTGGAGTAATAAAAAATTGAGTTGTTATCATGTTTTAAGTTAAATTTTAAATGTTTTGCTCTATAGAAGCCATTGTTTCAGAATGTGAATAAATTATCGTTGTTTTATGATTCATTATTCGTAGATGATTAATTGAAAAATCTACAAACAATAATTTTAGTAACTAAATTAAATAAATAAATATTGCTTAAACAAAATTCAAAAATTGTTAATGGAAAGTCAACGCGGCGTCCAATGATTGTGTACTAACCGTTAGTGTGGTCGACAGGCCGGACGGTTAGTCAGTCAGTATCTCTTCGTGCGTCGTTCTATTAGCGTGCGGGTTGTGTGTTGCTACTGAGTTCTCACGCGCACCATTTGCACGTGCTATGACGAGACACGAGTAGTTCGAAGACCGTTTTTTCTATTTTTAGTTTTCTTTTATTAAGTTTAATTTTCATGTGATATTAATTTTTGAGGTATTGTTTTTCTTATTTTTTCTATTAACTTAAAAAAAAAAATCGTTTTAAATATTAAATATAGTGAGTATTACACTAGTTTGGACACACAGGTACTGTAAGTTTATTTTTAACCTCTATAAGCAGGCAATTTATCTAGATATAAATTTCACGTACAAAACCGATCAAATAACACCGTTATTTCAAATTTGATGTTTGTATTCTTTAAGAGGGGAAAAAAATTTGAAAATACAATGTCATTTTGTTAGGTAGTGTGGTTAATTTAAAGCGTGTTGAAAATCTTCGCGGATTAATCGACCTACAATTCTAAGAAGATTATACTCCAGTAATACGTCCAGTCATCTCAACAGTAACATTCTGCATTAATTAATTTTTATACATATAGTGTGATTAGTTTATGTTTTGTTTTTCGAAAACAGTATTTTGTTGGTTAAATATTAGAGCGTGACTGTTTCTATCACGTGTATGGAGTTGCGGTTGTCCGGTTGATGATGATTTTCAAGACTTTTTTAATTTTTTAATGTTTAGAAATCGAAATACGTTTAACTTTAATGAGGAGTAGTATTTTTTAAATTACTTGAATTTAATTCTAATTATTTATTTTATCATTATAAGACAAAAGATCTAAACATAATTTTCATTGAAATAATAATCATTTTCGGACATTTTTTTGATAGAAATTAATTTAATTTCTCATTGAAATAGTAAATTATAATACATATTTTTACTCAAAAATTTTGCAATATTCTATAAAATTTTCCTGGTTCTGCTTTTATTGAATAATTTATAGAAAATTTTCCGTGTATAATATTCAAAGATAGACAATTTATGTTTTGTATAATTACTTTTGCTGACTTTTTTTTCCATTGGTTTTATTTTTTGTAACTGAATCTGCTGTAAATAAAATATACTTACACCCAAAGAAAAACCTCAATCAATTTTGATAGAGAAATTTTATCAAGGGTTTATGATAATGTTTTATTAATACGAACAAAATAATTATTCTTATGAATAATTATTGTTCAAGACAAGAAAAAAAATCATCATATTGATAAATATATCATAGATTCAATAGTAATGATATATTTATCAAATTGAACAATAAATTTATCATATAGATCGAGGTTTTTCTCTGGGTGTAAGTGTAATTAAAAAAATATATCCTATTTTAATTTAATTACTTCTTTCGTTTTCAATAGTTCATTTAAAGCGTTGCAACGCTTTCTACGTCCAGTTTATTCAAATTTCGCATGTGAATATTAAGTAAGAAAGCTAATTTATTATTTCACCTATCAAAAACGTAAACATTTATGGTACAAAATTAAAAAATATTTAACATTTCATGAAAATGCGTTTAATAATTTGTAGAATTTCATTTTTTTATGTTCATATCAACGTTAATGTATGATTTAACTTTATTGAATTTGAATACCGCCCATTAAAAAATATTAATTTACCACTTAATTTTAACAACATTAATTTTTACTCTATTGTGATGTACTAATGTAAATAGTATTTCTAGAGTTCATTTTTTCAATCAGTTTTATGTTATGATATTATATAGGTAATATTATTCTTTTATATTATTATCATTCTCTTCAGCTCGCGGTCGTCAACCTTATGTATTGTCGTTACGCGGAGTTCTTTTTTAGTCTCTCCCGCGTTTCATACACTCAGTTCCTCCACATACGAACGGATTACCGAGTGCGTATCGAGAGAGTGGTGTGTATTTAATAAGAATTGTGTTCCGAATTAATTCACTATATCGTTCCCGGAGCGCTACACAATTAACTTAAATAATTGTACGAGTACATTGCTTATCTATAACATTGATTTCATTTTCCAACAAATAATGTTTCATGTGATAAAAACAAAAGACACGGGCTACTATGAATACTTGACGTGCATAAATGAATTATTTGAAATTTTATAAAATCGAGGGTACAATGTTATTTATAATAATGTGTTCTGTATTGTAATTAAAAGTGTACAAGGGGTTCGTTTTTTTGCCATCTTAACGTCTGCTGTCTTCTAATGGTGGTGCAGTTTGTGCGTTGAGATATCAGCAGGTATGTGTAGTGCACTCATGACAATACTCGTATGGTCGCTGAGGTCGTTCCATAAATCAAGAGTCGTTTCACGAGAGATGGTACCTCTGAGCAGGTCCACCGTCGTGAGATTTCGCGAATAGATAATGCCAATCTGAGGTACAGTTTTACTTGAAGGAGAGGGTAAAATACCGTGGCTTGGACATTGTTCTTGGGGGTATATGAATTGATTTTTATGATCTGGACACATACGACGTCCTTTTTTTATTCTTATCCTTATTCCAAGCAGTAACAATAGGTGTGTCCATAGTGTACGAGATGTTGCTTTTTTCATAATTCGACCAACACTATTATTTTTCCGGACGTGTACGCAAAAAGATACGATATAAATCCAGACAACAAAAAGAAAAAAATTAATATGTACCCAACGTTGAAGACATCACTATACTTAACATTATAATGGGTCTATTTTACGAGCTAAGGTCACATTTGTACGATGTGACAGACAACTTACCTAGGTACGAGAGTACACTAAAATACCGGATTAGGCCTAAAACCTCAGTATCCTAGTTTCGGATTTATTTTCTTACTCGTATGAATTATGTTTAACCTGGTTTTGGTCTTGTATAAAACTGTAGATCATAAAATAGAATCGAAAGTATCTTTCTTGGAAAATAAACCAAAAAATAATTATCTTTCGTGTTATAGTTTAACAATAACAGTGTTATTTATTGCTTTTATTTGTATTATGTTTTAAAAGCACTAAAAGGACTTCCTCGATAAAGACATTCGGTTACTAATTAAAATTCCTATACGATAGCGTTAATACGCGTGTTAATGGGTATATTATGCGCAATCTGATATGAGCAAATCGTGGTTCAAGAAGTCTCACATATTCCGAATGGGCCGTGGATTGTGTTTATGTAATAATGCATACTATATAATTACACTTGCACATACTCGTATGCGATTAAGTGAGTGCAGAATTATTAAAAATTTATGAGTTTCTTTGTAGTTGAGTGTTGAGAAAATTTGCGAATATTAAAATTGTAAATTGTCGTGTAAAAAGTTATTTCATTTTATCAAACTCTTCAAAAAGTTATAAAACTAAATTATCAAAAAGCGGTAATAATATTTTTTTTTGTTAGTTCACATAAAACATATATAAATCAAACATTTTTAATTATTTAAAAAGTATTCGACTCATAAATCCTTACTGTTACAAAAAATACAATTTTTACTTAACTACTTTGAAGTAAGGCCAACAGGCCTTTAGTTTAAATATTACTGTTAGCCATAAGATCTTTTTATAAATTTACAGTCGGTCAAATCAAATATTAAAAAAACAGACGATCTTGAATTGAGCTACTTCAAATTAGTTAAGTGATGCCTTTTGTTATGTCTATGTTTGCAATGTTTCATTTCAGGGGGAATTACATAGGAACATTTTTCGATACCTTCCAAACGAAAAAAAATTGTATCTTCACTATATAAATATATCTGCCTTGAGTGGAGTATAAGAACCATATCCTCTTCTACAATAATGCCAGTGTTAATTATAAAAAGATAATCTAAGGCTTTATCATTATCGTTTTGTAATTATTTTCTTTTCAAAAAAATTTACCCTTCATTTTACCCTCTAATAATTCAATAGATTTTAATTATTAAGTAAAAAAAAATATTGAATGAACTAAAATCTTATTTGTCAGTATTATCCAGAATTTTTTTTCTGAGTGTATATAATATATATGAAGAGTTAATGTGTCAAACGTTCAATGTGCCAAAAACATATTTGTTCAGAAAACACAAAAAACGATGGTAACATGGGCATGTCTCACATAACGAACACCATCTATGAATGCAATTTTGTACAAGTAAAAAATTTAATTGACATTTGAAACACATACAAGATTGTGGCCTTTGGCACATAGAACATAGATCAGAAATAAAACAATTTTTCATTTTTTTGGCACATAGAACGTTATATATATATATATATATACAGGTTATGTATGTATATAACTTTTTTGGGGTATGTGGTTACGATCTCCTACTCGCCATCGCTACTGTTATTAATTTTGTGAGGTTTTATCAAATGAGACAGAAGATATGGCCGAGTCGGTAACGCAGCAGTATCCAATGCGCACTGTCTTGGGTTCGAGACTAGTCTCCGTTTATTGAGCGAGAAATAAGTTCATTAATTGGTGTTGCCATCTCTCTTCGGACTGTCTGTTCCGGAATATCCATGGTTAAGAAATCTTTTCTTCGGGAAACCTTAATGGGCTGAAAAAACGTAAAAAAATAAAATCATCATATATACATTTTTATATTCTGAATATAAAACAACTTAAGGCACAGAAAGTAATTACATTTAATAGCGACAATATATTTGTGGCTGTATACATGGATATTCTACTCGGTCGAAACAATGAAATAAGATCAATGAATTGACTTTTGTCGAGAACTCCCTCTATATTACACAATGCATTATATATTCACAAGCTTAACAAAAAACGCAATACAACTAATCTCCCGTCGGTTCTTCGATGTCTCGACCCTTTCGTCTTCTCTTTCAGTTCTTTTTAGATAATTTTTGGAACATTAGCCATTATTCATTTAGGTGTTTTTAATGTATTCAGTTGTTTGTGTATTATCAGTCATTGACACCATCTGTGTATTTTTTGTATTTTTTATGAATGCGGTATATTGAATAGGGGTAACTTAACTTATTTGTTTATTTTTCTAGTCACTCAAAACTCTTTAGTTCAAAAATTAATAAAATGGGATTCTTTTTAATACAATCTTTGTTTCCACCATTAATATACAATTAAAAAAAAAACCTTTATAATACAGTAAAAAAAATATATTTTTCCATTTATTTTATTTAATCTAAAATAATTTTGATTATTAATAATTTCATTCAAATAATTAATTTAAAATACTTAAATCATAATTAATCTCCTCATTATAAACACTATTTAACTATATTACTAATTTCCGAAAACATTAAGCATTCGTATATCATATTCACTTGTATTCTTATCAAAAA